TCAGGCCCGAAACAGACGGCACCTTTGATGGCAGTGGTCGAAGAGTACTCCCCAGAATTGAGAATAATAGAAAGCGGGCAAGCAAGCGGGTTCGTCTACCAGTTGAACTACCTATGGAGTCACTGGCAAAAGCTTCTGCTAGTAATTTTGGCAAAGGCTTCAGTGGAATGTCTAGTTTAGCTCCTCTTCAGCTTGAAGCACGTAATGCATTTCAAACAAGTCAAACGATATCCAGCTCTGCAGGTGGCGTTGTTTCCTCACCTGAAAGCAGCTTAGACTCACCAGATATACATCCTTTCCGAGCATCTTCATCGGGAGCTGAGGAAACAAGAAGGCTAGCAGGTCTTCCAGCTGCTAGTGCAGCGGCTTTGAAGGGAATCCCACTGTCACATTCAACTAGTGATGGGTATGAAGCCTCCGGTGGGGAAGATAGTGACCAGGTACAAACTAGAGTTGTTCAGAGATCTACTACCAGTTGGACTAACGTTCTCTTTGGTGCTGATCAGGATGAGAGGGCTTATAATCCCAAACCATCTTCTAGCCTGGGTCATAACAGAAAGTTGTGACTGATGTTAATTAAAACAAAGCAAACAACCCTTTTGATTACATTGATGGGAAATGCCATTCTTTTGATTTGTGAAGCTAAGGTTTTAACCTCACCATCCTTATCCAACAGCTTTTGGAAATCAAAGCTCGGCCCTGAGAAATTTTGGAGTAACGAATGTACAAAGTTTTAGGTCAGACTTGAGAGGAGTCACAAGGGTATGATTTATGGCAGCAATCACCCCTTGTAGTTAAAATGCATGAAGCATTTTCTTATGGATGATTCTGCTGACTGTTCTGATTTTTGCAATTTGTGAGAAAGACAGGTGACTGTATTAACTATTTACTTCTCTTTTCCCCCCAATCTTTATAACTTTGTTAAAATTATTGGCAAAAAAAAAAAGGAAAAAAAACTCAGAATTATCTCAATGATTAAGTACCGAGGTGGCAGGTCTATTCCAATTCCACTAGTTTGTCATTGGGAATGAGAATGGGAAATGAATGAGAAAGGGGTATTTGGTATGTCCATGGAATACTAGTATAATTTTTATTTGATATACTCCTTTCTTTATTTTTACGAGAGACAATTTAGTACTCCTTGGATTTTTAATATAAGATTTATTTAACTAATTTATTAGATTAAGAAAGTTAGGTAAATTAGTTAATTGTAAAAAATATGATATATTTTTTTTAAAACACTATAATCATCTTTTTTAATATCATCTTTCTCTCTTCTACTTGATTATGGTGAAGGGGTATTTATAGGGGTAGTTTAGAAAAAAAATGATAAATATGAAAAATAGGTCTTATATTTAGGACTAAAACTAACTTAACGATTAGGTCTTATATTAAGAACCAAAGGAGTATAATTTTTATTTGATATACTCCTTTATTTTTATGAGAGACAATTTATTCTTGGCTATAGTTTATTCTTATTTATAAGAGGCATTTAGAGGCTGTGTTCAAATTTTTTGGGGTTAATTTTTCATTTTGTCCCATTTAATTACTTATATTGATACCATTGTATTTATTATCAACTTAAATTGTTTATATGGTAAATTGTCATGTTCTATCTCCCTATAAATAAAGTTTTTTTTATAAAAAGAATATTACGGCATATATTGCCTCTAATTAATTTTAATCAATTTTTCGGTTAATGTGATTCAATTAATTGTTTTTATAAAAAGAAATAGAGGGAATGTGTAATTACAATAAAAAAACTCCGTAGTACTCTTGCCCATGTTGGGGGAAAATAAGTAGAAACAAGAAGTTTGTAGTGGCTGTGGTGATCTAGTCCATGTATCACCGTTGGTGAAGAGGCTGCTTGAAAGGCAAATGAAGATGTGACGGGGGCCAGTGGTAAGTTTTTAGTTTAAGAATCAATTAACTTGATCAGTGTGAGGGAGGAGACTGGATTTCTTAGATTTATTGTAAATTTCTTATCATGTTTGAGAGAAAAGGATTGGGATTCACTTGCACTCTCCTCTTCTCTCCCCCTCTTTTTATTTCGCTAACTTTATAAAGAAAAATTACTATGAAAATTTAAAGCATCTAATCTCATGAAAAACATGGCTCGTCTGGATCAATCAGGCCAAATAATTTTTTTTCTAGTCTGTAACTATTGTATGAGATAAATATAATCTAGGGAGTACCCAAATTATCTCATACTACTGTATTAATCTAAGCAGGCTCAAAGTATGATCATATAAATCATAAAACCTAAGTGAAAATTGGGTAAAAGCTCTTGACAGGTAATTTTATTGGTGAAAAGGGCTCCATAAATTTTTATACTTTTGGAAATTTTATACCATAGAGTACTATTACTCTAATTTAAGTTATTTCCACCAATAAAATTTTTAATGGGGGACTTTTCTCCAATTTTCTAAGAACTATCATTTGTCTAATGTGAATGAACGAATGGTGTGTGTATATATTTAATATGTATTTCCTCCAATCCTTATTATAAGAATTTTCAATATATTTCATAATATACTATATGTTTTGCTTTAAATATTAATTTTTTTCACTTAATATCTCTAACTAATTATAAAACTTCCTAACTAATTAACCAGACTCCTCTAAGTAATGCTTTTTGAGGGGATAATTTTCATATTTTATAAGAAATAATTAATTTTAACAAACTTCATTATTTTTGTGCGACATTGGTATTAGATTCTTATAATAATAACTGGATACAGTATTGGCAATTTGTAGCTGGGAGTTCAAATCTAGTTTAGTAAAATTTACTAGTAAGACGCTTCTGTTCCACTCTTTCTTTTTCTTTTTTTCTCCCCTAGTTTAAGAATCTTGTGTTAGTGTTCATGATTTATGTTCTGAAAGTAATCCTAGTTGAAAACAATGATGCTCAAAATATAAACCATCCATGACTTCTGTATATTTAATTTTTCAATTAATATAATTTTTAATCTCTTAAATTTGTGTTTGTTTTGGTTTTGATCTCTTCAGTTTCAAACCATAAGTTTTGGCCCTTCAAGTTTTTTTCTTTATTTGAAACATTGGTTTCTATAATTCAATAAAAATATGGATCATTTTGTCTTTTGAGGGACTAAAACCTGTGATTTGAAACTTGAAAACCAAAATTAAAATGAAGACAAATTTGAGTGACAAAATTATATTGGCCCTTGAGCAGTAAGATTGCATTAGATGAAAAGTTAAAAATAGGAAATCTGTTTATGAGGCATTGGGTCAGTCTAACTTAAGCACAAGCCAGTTCTTCTCGAAAACCAAAAAAGGGAAAACAGAAGCATGCGAGAAACACATTTCCAAAAACCAAGAAGAAACCTTTTTACTCATCCAAAAGAAGTACACACAAAAGATTTACCAAGGGGACAACACCCTCTTTATGCCTCTCTCTTTAGAAGCTTGTCTCATTAACACACTTCTTTTACATTAGCACTACAATAATAATAATGATGATAATAAGGCCTAACAGGGATTAGTTTCAAATCTAAAATGATTTGATGTGATTCTGGATTCACACCAAAAATAATAATAATAAGCTTTATCCAATTAAAGAGAAACTGGCTATATGAATAATGTGACATCATTATACTCTATTAGCAATTAATTGTTCAGATAATTCAGACATATAATGAAGGACAGTTTGCTTTTTAAAGTTGAGAATGGATGAAGACAGAAAAAGAACCATCCCCAACTAATCCATACAAGTCACGAGGGGAAAAAGTTGAAATTTTCTCATCACATTTCATCCCATTGAGTTGCTTTATAGTACAGATTGTATGCTATAAGCAGAGTCCAGCCAGCCAGTGTTGTTTTTTTTCCTAGAACTGAAAGTGAAGGTTAACTAGCACACAAGCAACATCTTTTTCGTCTTCTTGTTTGATTTGATGAGGGAATATCCCAATGACAGATTCCGTAAAACACAATTAGCCCATCTATTACTCTTGACTCTTCAATATTATTTCCCAAAAAGAGGATTTATAACAGAATGCTTCCTTGATATCCAATTAGCTATTCAATTAGGCATGTTCTGGCAAAGTGAACAAGCTATGGACAGTTTAGATAATACCAAAACAAAAACAAATCAAATTAGCCGTGAGATATGTAAATGGTACGTGAACTAATAATCCAACTGGGATTTGCACTACCAGATTCAGGAATGATGAAACTGTGTGGTCTGAGTTTTCAGTCCCTATACATTCCGTCATTACGTGGTTAACAACGCAAAAGGTGTTGTTCACAAGGACTAGAATGCTTGATCTTCAGATCCCAGTTGATGATTTGAAATGTATCTTATTGTAGTGATAATGAATCGGTGGAGCATTTGTTTTTCCAATGTCTTTGGGTAAAAGATTAATTGATGGGCATTTGCAATTGGATGGCGATGAACAATGTCCCAATGGAGTTTAGCATGGGGAGAGTATGGTTATCAATTGGATTCTTCTGTTTTTTTTTTTTTTAAATAAAACATGCTTCAGACAAATTTTATATGTAGGTATTATTACAGCAGTGCTCGTGTACAAAACGGGAGGTCCTCTACTAGTCAAATGGTACTCAGTGATAAAGCAATAATTACAATGGGTACTAAGACTTTGAGTGTGAATATTATTGTGATACGAATTCAAGAATCCTTTTAATTACAATAATTGGGGTCTGAAAATTGAAAACAGAGGCTTCTTTTCCTTCAAGAAGATGAATTTTGGAAATCCTCCACACTCTTCAAATTTAATTTAAAGTCCCTGATAAACTCACTCACTTCAATCAGATAAAAGTGGGAAGCAAAAGAAAAAGGACAGAAAGTATAACATTGCCATCAGATGACGATCATGATATACACTAATTCACAAGTCTCATATCTTCTTTTTTCAGCTTCTGCCTCTCATTCTTTGGTGTGACTGTCTTTCATTCTGTATACAAATCATATTCAACTATGGTAATTATGAAGTCAGAGGCGACCACTAACCTCATTCTCATGGTCACTCATGGATTATTGACAGAACATGAGGAACTTTCCCATCATCAAAGGGCAAGCTGATATAAGTTAATTCCTCAGCAATCTCCTGAGCAAGCTCACCATTAATAACCTTACAGTAGACATATAACACAGCATTGGACGCGGTTTTGTGAAGCAGAAGCAGAACGAGGAGAGCGGAGGCGACAGCAATTTGAACCACCAAACCCCAGTTCTTCCCTTCATTATTGGAACTTATTGATGAAACCGAATTGGCCAAGACTGAAATCCCAGTAAAAATCACAAGAAACAACAACGAAGAAAGAGCGACTTCTTTCATTCCCTTGATCAAATCCACACTTCGTTTCAACGCCGTCAATCCCCAATTGAATTCCACGACCACAATCACGGATAGTAAGGTCCAATTAACTTGCAAATTCACCAACACAAACAAGAAAGCTAGGAGAAAAACAGCAGAGAAGCCAATGAAGTAAGGGGAAGAGTACTCAATTTGAACACCAAGAAGCTCAACTCCACGGAAAACCAGAAGCGAGAAACCCCCAAATACAAGTGAGATTAAGCAGACTATAACTTGTGAAACGACGACGGCTCCCAATAAGGGTAGGAACGACGTGAGTATCGACCTAATAGTGGTTAGGAACTTGATGGGTTGACCGTAGAAGCCGTGGAAGACGCTATACGTGATGGTTGCGATAGCGCAGAGGGAGAAGAGGAAAACGAAGAATGAGTAAATAAGAGAGAAGAAGAGTAAATTAGTGTTGATATTGTTGGATTGGAAGGATTGCCAGAGGAGAATGTCGGTGGTGGTGACGAGAAAGCGGAGGAGGAGGCGGTGGAGGGTGTAGTAGCCGATGAGAGAGAAAGAGAGTGAGAGGATGAGGAAGGTAGAAAGAGCAAGGAAGTGACGAGGGTGGGCATTGATGATGCGTTTGGCTCCTGTGATGACACCCCAGAAGCCAAGATGTGGTCCTTGAAGCTGCGCCGACATGGCCGACGGCGGCTTTCTCCGCCGGCGATGAGAGAAGGAGAGAATTGGTAAGTAGCAGAGTGGAGGCAGAAGGAAGAAAAATGCGACGTGAAAGAGAGAGTCTCAATGACGTAGTTAGTTATTTAACGATATTTAACCGTCTTGTGCATCAAGATCAGGAAAGGACAAGGAAAGCGGGCGCCGCAGAAGTGAGCAGGAAAAATGATAAACTATTTTTTTCTTCTGCCAAATTAAAATTTCATTTATAGTAAAAAGAAAAAATTAATATTTTGATCCTTGCAATTGATTCTAACTTAACCATTGGATTTTGACTCACGATAAGCTTATAATTGTAACAATGGTTTGTTTTAGAAAAAATTTTTTTGGGTTTCGTCAAACTTAGGAACTAAAGATTTAAGTGGTTAAAATTATAAGAATTAAGTTATAATAAGTCAAAATTTTAAAACTCAGTTACAACTGAATTAAAATTATGAAATTGAGTTACACTGACTTAAATTCTACTCTTCTAGTCTTTAATATAAGACCCATTTAACTAATTTGATTAGATTAAGGAAGTTAGGTAAGTTAGTTAATTATAAGAAAAGTGACACATTTTTCCTAAAACACCATAATAATATTTTTTTAATATCTCCTCTCCCTCTTCTACTTGATTATGGTTGAGGAAGTATCCATAGGAGTAATTTAGAGAAAATTGATAAATATAAGAAATGGGTCTTATATTTAGGACCAAAACCAATTTAAAAATTAAGTCTTATATTAAGGACCGAAGGAGTATATTTTTAGAAACTGAAATAATGTATTTCATAAAACTTCATAACTAAAAGTTTTAAATAGTTAAAACTCTAAAAACTAAGTTGTATTGAGTCAAAATTTAGAGACTAAGTTACAATCGAATCGAAATTTTAAGATTGAATTGCACCCACTCATAGGACTAAAATTTCAAGATAGAGTTATAACTAAATAAAAGTCATAGAGATTAAAAAATTATTTTTCCTAAATAAAAAATTATACATCCCTATAAAATTTCATTCACACCAAGAAATTAAAGGCAAGCCTTCATATCTTCAAATGGCTTTCAATTTATCAGGAAGTTCTGAGGTTGCCCACCAATTAAAACTCTCCATTCGAAGCCTCCTGTCGTTCGCAACTTGCCAATACAAGGTTTGTTAATTTTAATGAAAAGAAGTAAGAGAAGGGGGTATACATCCTGCTGTCTTATTATTCTTTTTCAAGGAAAAGCTATTCACCTTTTTTTTTTTTTAATCAATAAAAGGCTCCTTCTTCTCTTGAACTTAAGAATTGCCTTGGTATAGATTAGAAGTAACAGTCAATGTCTAGGAGAAGATAATTCATGCTTACACCTACTTTGTGTTGGGAAAAAACTTCATAACATATACCAGTGTTTTGGAATTCGTTCTAGCAGTTTATTGCATTATATTTTTTTTCCTACTGTCTTCTTTTTCTAGTGTTTTTTTCTTTTACTTATGTTAATTATTCTTTGTATTTAATTTCTATTTTTGTCCTTCTATTACTACTGTAACTCTTTAATTCTATATGTTTTTTTTTATCTTTAATATCGTTTTGTCTTTTCCTTGAAAAAGAAACCATAATCCAACTACTAATACGTAAAGAAATAAACTATAAGCCCAACCACTCGAGATATGAAAAAACAAAAACAACAACTAGCACGCCCCGAAATAAACGACACATAAATAAAACGAGATGATGATGATGAACATCATAAACGTGATCTAAAGCCAATTTTTTTTAAACAAACAAGCAATTTTTTTGTTTGGCGCAGTTATCATCTTATTGAAAACAATCATGTTTAAGACATTACTGGGCAGTGGATGTGTACACATTTCCTAACAGAAATTTAAATATTGGTTCAACACGTTATAAGAAACTAGTCCGTTCTACTAGATTTAACCCTATTGGTTATAAATAAGCGATCTTATTCAAAGTAAAACAATAGAATGATTGGGCTTCATTATTTTTTTTTTTTAAATTTGGACATCAGGCATAAAGAATGATTAACAGATGGGAATCCAATCCCAGACCTGATGCCACCAAGGGCACATCTTACAGACAACTTACTTTCATTCCTATGAAGTCTTCGTTCTAGTTGATGAAAATCTCCTACCAGCAAGTCTACTGTGTTACAGAGTTATAGTTCTCTAAAGGCTTTTTCAACATATTGAACATGTCTGCCTTGAGTATAGCTGGTAATACGGGCCAGTTTGCTAGTTACAGGATAGCTCGTGGCGGGCCTTAGGCTCGAGGGATCGGTCTTTTTAGGACCAACCTCTGGTGGGCTAGAATTTTTCCAACCCTAGGCCCGCAACCCCCAGTTTTTGTAAACTTTTTTTTTTACTTTTTATTTTCTTTTAACAAAATCTACTCAAATTCTTAAATACCTAAAATGAAATTTGCAAATAGAAATTATCATAAATAAAACATGGAATATGAAGTTTCAAATACCTCAAAATATTAAACATACATGATACATCCTAAATGATTTAACAAATATCCCAAATTAAAACATAAATCCAAATCAACAATAACACAAAGTCACAAACACAATGTGTCACTACTTAAATCACTATCAAATGCTCAATCATGGGCCATCACTCAATATTGATAGGGTTGGATGCATGATTTGAAGATGTGAAATTATTTGGCTAAGTTTGAGAAGTAAAACCACCATCTCTTTGCTCAGTTGACTTTGTCACAGATAAAATTCATAATACAAAGTGAAAAAGATGAGAGTTGAGAGGGCGGAGACTCAGAGAGGTTGTGAGCTTGGGCGAAACGCAAATGACTAAAGAATGAGGGGGAGGAAATTGTTGCCTTTTGAAGCAAAAAATTTTTAAAAAAATGAGAGGGGGAGAGATGGTGCGTTTCAAAGGGAAAAACTAAAAAAAAAGAAGAAAAAAAGTAAACAGGCTGACCCGCCAACCTTATAGGTTAGCCTATCATAGGTTCGGTTTTGACAGTTTCAGGCTCAAAGATTCGTTGTAAAACGGTCCTCATTTTTATCAACCCAGTCTGTCACTTTTTGACAGGTTGGTGAGTTGAGCCTACCGACTCTAACCTAGAGAATGATAACAAATTCCCACTATATGTTATCTATATAATTTGAAATCATGTTTGACAGACTTTTGTTAGCATATTACTAATGACTAATGTTTAGATGCACTCTTTTTGTACTAATATACTCCTATGGTTCTATTTATATAAGGTAAAGAGTTGATGTTTTACTTGAGCCTATTTACAAGTCATTTTACTAAATTTTTAACATAAATATACTATTTTATTTTTTATTTATTATTTTTTAAAGCATCATACCTTTTATTTATTATTGTGTAGATCATTATTGTTTTGAAAAGTGCACATATTAAGTAGGAATAAAGTTAAAAAATTATTAAATTTTAAGATAAAATTAATAAAATTTAAATTTGTTCTTAAATCATATGAAATACGTGAAATGATTTATAAATAAAGTCAGAAAAGTATATTCTAACTTTGTTTGAAGCAAAAGGCTTCAATCCCCTAACCTAGATCATTAACAATCATTTGTCCCTCGTGTCGCAGAAGTTATGTCCTTCATTTGTCACTTTTATCAACTCTATAACTTCGTACTCAAGATCACAAATGCCTCCCTCAATACCCTTGGTCAATTGCTCATTATTATTATGGTTGTTCGTCCATGGAACAATTTTTTTGCTTTTTACACATTTTTGGATGAGCTAATTCATTTGACTTTTGAAGCAAAAGCTACTTTAAGCATTAAGCCCACAAGAAGGTGCTTTTGAGGTAAGTAGGACTGTACATGAGCAGGACTGGGTAAGACAAGACCCTTACTCGATACCCAGCCAAAAAATAAACAGACCGGAAAATGCAGCTCATTATCCAGTCCTACTCATAAAAAGCCCTAGTAAGTTCGGGCTGGGCAGGACGAGCTTTCATACCCAGCAAGTCAATATACTAAATTAATTAATTAATTATTTATGTTCCTCTAAATAATCTAATGTAACTTTATACTCCTCCGGTCTTTAATATAAAACTTATTTAATTAATTTGATTAGATTAAAGAAATTAAGTAAGTTAATTAATTATAAGAAATATGACATGTTTTTTCTTAAAACACCATAATCATCTTCAATTATATCATTCCTCCCTCTTTTATTTGATTACGCTTGAAGAAGTATCAATAGGGGTAATTTTAAAAAAATTGATAAATATGAGAAATAGGTCTTATATTTAAAACCAAAATAAACTTAACAGTTAGATCTTATATTAAAAAGTGAAGGAGTATTAAAATGGCAACTTGGCCTTAATTTAGTTATCACTAATTAATATACTATGAAACTACATTTTATAGTACTAAGAAGAGTGAGCTATGACAAAAAAAATGTTGTTAGTATATTTTATTAAATTTAATTGCTTTTCTAGTTTCTAAAATTTCTCAACCAAATATGAATTTTTTTTCCCTATAACTTCCAAATACTCATAAGAAGATGGATCAATTATACAAATTGCCAATGGTCATAATATTTGCATTAAAAAAGAAAATGGTTATACAAATCACAGTACATGATAAGATGTTTAACTCTCAAAATCATATGAAAATAAATAAGTATAATAAACACTAAATATTGATACAAAAGTGTAATTGATTCAGGAGATAAATATAAAGCGAATAAAATATATATATATAAATAAAATTATATATATTTTTGCGGGTAGGGCCAAATGGACAGGGCAGCATACTATGCACGGTGCCCAGCCTTGCCTGACAATTTGCCAGGCTCAAACATGCCCAATATTTCTTTCGGGCCATTTTTTTAAGAGCGGGCTGGGCATTTTTTTGAGGGCTTGCGTGGGTATAACGGGTAACCAGGCTCCATGAACACCCCTAGTGGTAGGAACGGCTTATAAGTAACTTTTCAAACGTGATTTATAAAATATGAGATGAGTATGTGAGAGGAGTTTTGTCTCGACTTATGTGAAAGTGCTTATAAACACTTTTGCAATGTTGATCCAAACAAACCCTTACAAGTAGAACTGTCAAAACGTTCTGAACCCATCAAGTCAAGTCTTTTTAAACCTATTTAAGTGGGGGCCAAACTTGTATTTTAGGGGATTCAAAAGAAAATTGAGTTTTAAAGGGCTGGTCTTTTAGAGTTTAAAAATAAAAAAGGTAAGCTTGTTTAAAGCCACCTAATTTTTTTATTACGAAAACCTAATAAATTATTGAAATAACTTACTACTATTATTCATTAATTACTATTTGTTGTGTGAGTAACGTTGTCCAAGCCACTTGATTTTTTTAAAAAAATAGACATACAACTAGTTGTATGGTTTTATTTTAGATAATGGTGATGAAAATATACTTAAAAAAAACAGCTGATTAGCGATGGAAACAAATTCCGTTGCTAATTACCGGTAGAATTTGCGACGGAAACAAATTTCGTTACTAATTTTCGACAGACTTGTGACAAAATTCCATCGCTAATTTTTTCGACGGATTAGCGTTGCTAATATTAGCGATGGATTAGCGACAGAATTTCTGTCCGTCGCTAAATTTCGTCGCTAATCTGTCAGAAAATCCATCAGTAAATATTTAGCGACGGAATTTTTTTCGTTGAAAATTTCCGTCGCTAATTCCGTCATTAAATTGTTTGTCATAGAAGTTTTTGTCACTAATTCCGTCACTAATTCTATTCCGTCGCAATTCCATCGCTAATCTGTCACTAATTCTAAATTTCGTTATTTTAAATTATAATCTTACAAAAATTATATTATAACAATTAAGAATATAATGATTTAAAAACATTTTTAATTATAAAATAAATTGATATACTTATGGAGTTGGTGTTAATAAAGATATCGTCATCATTTATGTCATCATTATGTATATACTGAAAATAGAAAAATAATTTCTTAGAAAACTTATTTATATTTTGTTAGAATAAATTCCTCTTGATTATTAATAATAATTAAAAAATACAATAAGAATATTAATAAATTTTTTATACAAACTGATATAAGAAAGAAATAATTTTATCATATGTAAAATATATTGAAATATATAATATATGATAGAAATTCAAAACGATTTAATAAATTTATATGAATGCAAATTAATATTGAAGTGAATTTTAAATTTCAACTGGTAAAGCTGCACGCGCCACACATTGCAGGCAGAGGTGAGGTGGCAGCACACGTGGCAGGCAGAGGTGGGGTGGCAAGAGACACGTGGAAGTGGTCTCCAGTGATGACGTGGTAATTGGTAGAGGTGCCACGTGGCATTTTATTTTATTTTTAAAAAAATCAGGTTAGCGACGAAATTTTTCCATTGCTAATTTGCGACGGAAATTTCTGTTAAGAATTAGCGACAAAAAATTTCCGTCGGTAATTAGCGACGGAACAAATTCCGTCGCTAATTCCGTCGCTAAAAACATGTCTTGTTTTGTAGTAATAAAAGAAGATATTAGTATTTTTTTTAATTGAAAAAGAAGCTACTTATAGTAAAAAACAGTCAAATATTGTTGGTCGTAACGATAATAACGAAGATGAAAATGAAGGTCATATTGATGTTGCTAATATTCAGTTCTAAACCTGCATGTTTGAGAGTTGTGTTTCAATAATATGATGATTTTATGGTATGCAGCTTTTAACGGATTGGCCCTTTTAGGCCTTAACCCACCAAGGGCCGTTTAGGAAAGTATCAGACTTTATAGACAATTCTGCTATTTCTAATTAAGCCACAAGTCTACTTGATTGGAGTAAAACTAACGTGGGGTTTATTAACAGAGAGAATTACAATCAAGTCCCACATAAGAGAAATAATTACCAAAAGCTTCCAATAACAACCTCAATAGCCTATAATAACAAGTTCTATAGTGAGAATGACAACTCCTAAGACTTGTTTTTCAATTGTTTTCCTTGCTTGGGATCTCATTGTAATTCTCCCTTAAGGAGTTGCATGTGAGTGTGACTTAGAAGTTTACTCAGATATTTTGGGAAAATTTATATCCGTGTATCCACTTCGCTGTTTGGACGATTGTACAATTAATGGTAATATTATTTAATTAAAAATTTTTACACTTGTACGATTTATAATTTATATGCATTTTTATTTATTAAATATATTTTTTCAATTTTTTTCATTAATACATCAGCTATCTTTATTTTTATAATTTATAATTTTGATATTTCTCTTAAAATTATATATTTTAATATATATGTATTGTTTAATAAAAGTCATATCCTTTTCAGTTATTTTAGATTTAAATTTATTTTTTTAATTAATCTTTTAAATAAGTTTCAGTTTATTAAACTAACTTTTTACAAAACTCAATTTAAACATAAATCATATTACACAAGCTAATTTTTATTCTATCTTAAACTTTTTCCACCACTAATCCAAATACAATCTTACATTACTTTTTTTGGGTCCAAGCCTTATATTACTCTAAACACTTAATGTTGTGTATATGAGTGGGTGTGTCAAAAGTAAAGTCCCACATTGCTCAAGAGAGAGGAAGCTCAAGTGTATAAATACTATCACACATTATTGGGCTAGTGGATGGGCTAGAGGAGAAAGAGGATTTCACGCACACAATAACAGCCCACCAGGAGGGAAACGTAATTGAAAACTGGTGATTCCCCCTGCGCGCGAATTAGAACAGCATCGGGTACCTTTTGTAAATCACTTTTGCAAAATTAAATTATGAAATGGTATTAAGAGAGCTTATCAGAAAATCCTTGTTTTGACCATTTATTTTTGTAATAGCTGAAGGTTACTGAACGTTGGGAGTTTTCAAACCGTGATTTATCCTCTATTAATCCTTAAACCATTTTCCATGGATTAATGACAGGTAACATCTGGAATTTATCTCTTAAACGTACCAACGTTCATAACTGAAGGAATAAACAGCGTTTATGGCCGTAACGTCTGAAACTGAAATTTTATTACTGTAATCATGGTGCCCAATGTTCAAAATCTGTGGCCTATATAAAGGAGGTCGAGGCAGAGTGTTCGGTGCACTGCTTGAGCTATCGAGCTTTCTCCCCTCCTCTACCGTTTTGCTCCCTTCTCCTCTTCTCTACTTGCTGGGTAATTGTTGGTTTCTGCTTCTCTATCACCCTGCCCTTATGGGAAGGGTTCGTTTAATCCTGGGAAGTGCCGCATTCATATTTAGTTACGGTGGCGAAATAACTCTTAAAGACAGTGTCTACCGGCACAACTCGAACCAGATTGTTGATTGTTTCCAGTTTCCTCAACACTTAATAATATGACTCAAGAAACAAATATGCAACAATTCCTATCCAACAAAACATTATTATAGTAACAATAATTACGCAACACAAAAGTATCCTTGCATTATCAGTCCTCTAATAAGATTCACTTGGTAAAAGCAGAGCACAAGTAGAGAACTAACTTAGAGAGCAAATTTTATTGCGTTCAATATGAAAATAAATTCTGTTTTGTTCGATCAATATCGCAGCCTTTTTTTTCCCCTTTAAATTACACAACAAAAAATTTCCCAATTCTTTTCTCTACCTGGCAGCATATCTACGGAACAATGTTATTTTGGAGAAAATAACATTGGCCAGACGTGTGAGATTTTTAACATTTTTTTGGTATTTATTAATGATACGTTATGAATATTGCATGAGTGAATAAGCAGAAAGTCATTATCTTCTTTGTCTCTTATTTTTTCTTCTACTACTTTCTAGTTTTCTTATTTTCTCTCATTTAATAACACGATATGATTGATTAGAAGCAGTGCGGCCTCATCACAATATTAGCAGCTACTGTCACCATTAGTTTTTTAATTGTCATTTCTATTATTTATTTTTAATTAATAAATTAACTATTTATTGATAGGGTTTTGACAAAACCTCAAGCAAAACAGCTATTAATTTCCGTTGCAGATTTTGGCGCGCCAACCTATTGTAACAAAATTGTAACGGTTTTTAAATCGATGCAAAGTAAAAGTTTTTGATATTTTGAATTTTATAGATCAGTTTAGGATAAGTATGTTTTTTCCTACTTAATTCTATGTAATGTTATATTTTTTTTAAAAAAAAGTTAGAAGCGATTTTGCTTGCCAAACCGCTACCAATGTCGTTAGATAAAACATGACCATTTAGTAACTATTTGTTTTATAATTGCCACTACAGTCATAAATTGTAATGGTTTACTGCAACTACTACTATCAATCCTTAATACAAGAAACTAATTTATTAATTTGAGTAGATTAAAGAAGTTTGTTAAGTTAGTTATTTATTACCTCCGATCCTTAATATAAGACCCTGTTTGGTTTTTATTTTGATCCTAAATATAAGACCTCAATCCACTTTATCTCTCATATTTATATATTTTTTTCCAAAGTAGTCCTTCTAATAATAATAGTTTTAGTCAATATACTTGATTAGCAAGGATATTTTAGGAAAAACAACACCTATTTAGGACAAATAACTAACTCAACTTACTTCCTTAATCTCCTCAAATTAATCAACTGGCTCTTATAATTAGGACCGGAGGTAGTATAATAAATAGGCATTGTTTTTCCTAAAATACCCTTACCAATCATGTGTATTAGCTAGAATTATCATTTGATAGAATATTTAATATGTGCAACTATTACAAAAACTATTTTGAGAAAAATGGTTAAATACAATAGACAAAGTGGATTGGAATCTTATATTTAAGACCAAATTAAAAATCAAACTAACTCTTATATTAAGACCTTAAGGTAGTATTTACTATTTTTTTTATAATTTTTACTTTTTTTGCAGTGATAAAACACCATTTTTGAAAAATCTTCAAGAATATTGTTTATAGCTAACACAATGTGTTTATTAAGTACTACTTCCGGTCCTTAGTATAAGACCTTGTTTGACTTTTATTTTGATCATAAATATAAGATTCCAATCCACTTTGTCTCTCATATTTATACATTTTTTTTTCAAAGTAACCCTTCTAATAATAAGAGTTCTAGTCAATACACTTGATTATTAAGGATATTTTAGGAAATATAACACTTATTTTGGACAAATAATTATCTCAACCTACTTCATTAATCTCCTCAAATTAGTCAACTGGCTCTTATAATTAGGATTGAAGGTAGTATAATTCATCATAAAATGATAAAATCATACTTCCAAAATACACGGTGATTGGAAAGCACCAACGCAATTTTCAAATCAATACAATTTGTCCCAATACTGATATTTTTCATATATAAATAACAAAAACTAGTGTGTTTGTATTCCAAACATTCACTTTCCAAACGCCATTCATTTTTCCACGATGTGTGTGTTTACATATCCAAATGCTTTATATAAGCTCATAGCAAGCGACAAATAAAAACACATTCTATATGTAGCATGCTGTAAAAGAAGATTTGTATTTCCAAATATTTAAAAACACTTTACCAATGCAAATATAACATGCTATATATCCAACAAATAGTTTTTTAAAGTTTATCACAAACACTTGGCTTCCCAACATAATTTATAAACCTTTCCCAAACACAATACCATGCATCCAAGAATTTATCTTCCAAACACATTTATACACATCACAAAGTTTATCAATCATGAAATTACTGCGACCAGTAACTTCACATGGCATTCCTCACAATGCTAGTTTATTGGCCAAGGGTCACACTACAGAAAAAAAACTAAAGATTGCAATGGTTTCTTTGTAACGGTTTAACAAAACTACTACAAACTACAGATATAATTGCGGTTTAAAACAAAACTGCTACAAATCTGTATGGATTTGCCCAACTATCATTTTGTGTCACAAAATGTAACGGTTTTCCAACAAAAAACTGCTACAAAATTGAAGCCAATTTTGGGTTAGAAGGCGGGTGATTGGCCCCATAATTGTAGCAGTTACTTAGTTGTGGTTTGTTTTCAATAACCACAACAATAATTTTGAAGCGGTTCATGTTGTAGCGGTTGGTCAAAAAGCAAAAGGTGGACCGTTTTATGTTTGTTGTGGTTACAAGTAAACCGCTACAAATGTGATACAATTTGTAGCAGTTCCTTTAGCAACCGTGAGAAAGTGTTGTATTATTCAATGCAGACACAACACGTGTTACAATTTTGCAGCGGTTTGTTAGAAACTGCTACCAATATCAACATTTGTAGCGGTTTTTTAAGAATCGCTTCAAAATTTCAGCATCTATATAAACGTTCCTCCCCCCTCTATTTCACTTTTGGTGTGTGTGCATATAAAGGTTCTACCAAAATTTTTTCAGAATTCCACTGTAGCTCTAGATCTAGTTCCAACCACCCCGGTACAAATATATGTTCATTTATTAGTTAATTTGTTTGATAGTTATAGTATTTAAATATTTAGTTAGTGTTTTATTAATTGAATATTTATTTGGGTTTCTGATTTAATTGATATTGATATTATTTGACTTTATGATTATAGCTAGTATTGTTTTTAATTTTTATAGTTTGCATGTTAGCTATAATTATTTAATAATAAAATATATTTATTTAGTAATTAATTTAATTGACATTAGGAGTGATATTATTTTAATTACACTTTTTTATATTTTATTTAATTCGAGAAAATTGAATTTGGTGGTTTTTTTAATTATTAATTATGGTTTGAAATATAATTATAAAATGTTTAGAATTTATTAAATTCATTATGTGATTTAGATTGTTGAATTAATTAATTGTAATGATTCTACATCTTATTGTCTTCAATTTTTTTTAGTTTGCATGTTATATATTTTTAATTTTTAATGATATTAGGAATGATATGATTTTAATTACATTTTGTAGTATTTTATTTAATTCTATGTTTTAAAACTTTTTTTTATGGTTTCAAAGGTAATTGTACAATGTTTAGAATTTATTAAATGTTATGAATATTATGTGGATATCCATTTACCCCTTCCTCTTCCTCTTTCTCTTTACCAAGTAACTTCCGCTATCTCTACTATCTATTTAATCTTATAACTTACCTCCATTCACATTCATGGGCTTGATTATCTACTATTTGTTATTTAAGAACAATTGTAATTTGTTTGTAAGACTATGCTTATAAATAGGGCATGTTATTTGTGTTATAGTGTAAGTGAAGAAATACAATAGTTCTCCTCATTCTCTTGTCTTCATCTTTGTAACGCTTAACCTCCGTCTCCACCTGCATGAAGCCACGTGTTAGGCTAGCTCGGGAAAATAAAAAATTTCTAGCGATTGGAGCAAAAACCGCTAGAAAATCCGTTTAACTTTCTAACGCTTATGTAACCGCTAGAAAATTAAATGACAATTTGCATTCTCTAGCGGTTCTAGCAATAAAACCGCTAGAAATTAAATGCTGGAAATATAGCGCCAACTTCATGCCAAATGGCAAGAACAGTTGTAGCCGCGAATTTCTAGCGATTGGTATAAAACCGCTAAAAAATTGTGGGTCCCATTTACTTTCTGGTCAAAACGCTTCGGATTTCTAGCGGTTTGTGTTATAACCGCTAGAAATGAACTGCTGGTAATTTACTTTTTTTTTTGTAGTGATGATTTTAATTAATTTTAATGTTTATTTCAAAGTTATCAAATTTGTTTGATAAAATTTTTTATTCTTAAAATTTGGACTTATTTTGGTTTCATTTCCTCAAATTTCAAACTCGTGGTGGTTTCAGTCTTTAGAATTTAGTTTATCTTAAAATGTTAGTCTTTGGAGGTATCATAGTGTTGAAATATACTGAAATATCATAAAGAGTATTAAAGTAGCGGCATAAACCCACTAGATAGTACCTAGTTGAATCTTTTGTAGATAACAAATGGCACCTAGTTAGCTCCTATTTTTTCCCCCCTTATTGTTCGTCTGAGAAATGGTTCATTGCGCTATGTTTGGAGAACTCATCCCTCTCTATATAATCATTCTTTGCATTACATTTTGAGAACTTGTTCTTTTTTTCTTGTTATCCATATAAGATGCAGTTAACTGACATTAATTTGGTGAGTCAACGTTATGACTTTAACATTATTTATGACATTTTAGTAGATTTTAATATTGTTACACTTTTATGGACTTATATTTTAACGTGGATTAAAATTCAATGACAAAACCAAGGATTTAAAATTTTAGGAACCAAAACTAAAAAAAGCCCAAATTTCAGAAACAAAAAATTATGTTAACCTTATCAAATTTTATGTAAAATATATATTATACAAGACTCAAGTCTTTTTCAATCAATTTTACATCTAAACATATTTCTCCTCAGTTTGATACTTTTTATCTTTACATCTAAATTATATTATGCTAATTTGGCTTTTACCTTTATTTCAATTCACAAAATTTAATTGTGATAAAAATTATTTTTGCAAATGTTAGCTCAAACAATCCTTTAATAATAATAAAAAAAAACTCCCATCTTGGTTTTACATCTACCATGCAAGATTTGGCAAGGGATCTATCTTTGTAAAATTTTTGTGTCGGATATTTATCTACGCAGTGTCGGTGCCGAAATGCAACGTGTCTTTGACGTGGATGTGGACGTCAATTTCCGCGTGTAGGATGATGGAGAAAATTTTCACAGGCTCCTGGGGTTTAATTGATTAGTAGTAATTAAATCTTTAGCCCAAAAACAACCTATTAATTATGTAAGTGTTTTTACATATTTTTTTTTGTTCAGAAAATTGTTTAGAAATACTATGAGTTCCAAGTATTAACCTATGTCCTGTTTTCATATGCTTTGCTTCTACTGCCATTTATGACGTACGAGTTCACAACGGAAATAAACAAAATAATATTTAATTTTAATCACCTTTTTAAATAAAATTAATCACTTAAAATTTTCTTTTGACCGAACAAAATTAATCACTTAAATTAAAGCACAGTAAAACTCGCCATAGAATATTATAGTACAAAAATTGAATTGAAAAACAACGGAGAAAACACTCAGAGATTCAGATTTCATTCTTACGCTCAAGAAGGAACATTATTACAGTAATGCGTATTTATCTGAATTTGAACGTTGTTCTGAACTAAGACCGACGAATCCCTTTCTTCGTTGAACCTCCTTCTACTTTCTCAGTCTCTTCGTTTTTCCGCCATGTTAGCCCACCCCACCTAGCGTCTACCTCCACTTCTGCTCTTATTTTTGCACGTGACGTTCTCTAATGCTGGAATCTGCTCGCCTCGCATTGCCACCGCTTATGATCTCCATTCCTGTTTTGTGGACACTATATGGTATGAATTTCACGATACTTTAATCAATTCTTTGTTCGTTGCGTCCATTGCCGACATACCCAGTTATTGATTTGCTGTTCTGGAGCTTAGTCTGGTTCTTTTAGATCTGGGTTTCAAATTGAGCGCTATTTAAATCTTGAATATCTACTCAATTATCCATTTTTGGCTGCGAATGGAGATTTCTAGTGGAGTTTGTTCTCCTAGAGTCAGGTCTGATAGTTCGAAGAAAGAGGGATCCGAGGAAACCCCTTTGCAAGGTTTAGAGATGGAATTGTCTTCTGAGGTCGGTCATGATTATCAGACTCAACCAATGAATGCGTTGGATATCATGAGAGAGACCGTGAGGATTCTTAGGTTTAACTCTTGGGGTTTCATGGGGATAATGACTTTCCTCATTTGTCCTGTTTCTGCTGTACTGTTGCCTAAGATTCTAGTAAATGAGTCCGTTGTGACGAGACTGACTATGAGACTTGTGTTGGTTGCTCAAACAAGTGGTTTCTCGCTGACACCTTTCATCAAAGACTCTTGCCATCGTTTTGCAGAGACGATGGTTTCTTCGTTCATGTGCTTCCCATTGTATATCACACTGCTGTTATCATCAAAAGCTGCAGTATTTTACACAGTAGAATGTACGTACTTGAGGAAACTGTTTGATGTATCCAAGTTTTGGGCGGTCATTGCTAAGTTTTGGAGGAGAATAGTTTCGACATACATGTGGACTTGCTCAGCAATAGCAGGTTGCGTCATCTTGTTTGCTGTTATTCTAGTAGCTTTGTGCAGTGCATTTTCTGTTCTTGGGTTTTCATCAGAGATGGTTGTGTCTGCTGCAATGGTGGTTGGGCTAGTTTTCTCAGTCATATTTGCCCATGCAATTATCATTTGCAAAGTTGCTCTTGTAATATCTGTGCTGGAGGATGTTTCAGGAGCACAAGCGATGTTGAGATCTAGTGTTTTAATCAAGGGTCAAATTCAGGTAGGTCTTGTGATATTTCTTGTATCTGCTATAGGAATGGCCTTTGTGGAGGGACTGTTTGAGCACAGGGTAAAGACAATAAGCTATGGTGATGGATCTTCCAGGACGTGGGAAGGACCACTCTTGGTTATAATGTATTCCTTTGTTTTTCTTGTAGAATCCATGATGAATGCTGTTTTCTACTTCAATTGTAAGTTTTCTTATAAGGAGATCTCAGATGTTGAAGGTGACACAGTTTTGTACACCAGAAATGTCACATCTTCTGAATCAATGGGTATTCAGTGAGATAGCCAATTTGATTTTGTTTCATTAAGTGAATTAGTAATGCAAAGAAGTGAGTGAACTGCATGAGATTGTTCATGGCAAATTTATCATCACATAGTAGCCTTGCACTGATGCTTCTTCAACCCATTGAATATGGGGGCTATACAAGAGCGGATGAATTTGAACGGCTTTCAAGTCTCAAAAACCTTTTGAGATTTACTCATTTGAGCAAGTGAAAGTCTCTTTCAGATGAAGAGACACATGAAAGCAGGGTGAGATTGATGGTTTCATGTTTTGTAGTGTTTGAGGAAAATCTGCTATTTGTGTGGACAAAATGGTAGAAATTCTAATTTGAATCTTCTCCGTTCATGTAATCACGCATTTGCTAAAGAGAATTACACAAGAACGTGTTTTGATTATGTATGAAGCACGCAACTCTTTTGTCCCCCCCCCCCCCGGGGAATGAGCACGCATCTCTTCTTTACACCTATTAATTTATTACTTCTTAATCCTTTTCTCTCAAAATGTATGCATTGGATTGATCTTGCATATCAATATCATTCATGAATCACAATTATTTTATTAGGAAATGCTAAGTACACTGATATCTGGGTAGGCCTTGGTTTTGATTCAAAGAAATGTCTCAAGCATCTTAGTTCTTGTTCCTTCATCAGACTCCATCATCGCAGATCGTTCGAGAGTTTCCTTCTCCATCTTCTGTACCTTAATAGTCTACTATATATTTTTTCATAGTTGAGTTTTGAAAGACTTGAAAGGAAAATGAGTTTATCTATAAATGCTCTTCGTACATCCATTGGGTTTCTTGGAATATTGTATCAAGCTCGCTTGCATCTAAAGATCTTTAAATGCAGATTATTGTCAATTCTTTGATTCTGCTTTACATGCACAGTGTTCATTTTTGCCATTGGCATTTGTGTAGTGATATTAAGGTTTGCTCACTCAACAGCAAATTGGTGCATGAACAAGCTCTATACAGTTTGCTGTCAGGTTCTTCAATGAAATTACACATGATGATTTTGGGTGAAGAGTCAATAATGTATTTCCTAGTAAAATAAAATAAAATAAAATCTATATATTGTATTGTTATTAAAAAATTTGATTGACAGCCATCCAAGAAATGATACTCTTTTGCTTTTATTTAGAAATCATTTCCAACATTTTCACACAAAATAAAGAAAAATTTAAATTTCATTAACTATCATTTAAAATTTAATAACTTTCAATTTTATTTCTATTTAAAATACATTATACCATATGTAAATAAAGTCAACACAATAATTCTTAGTGCTATATAAATAGGACAAAAAAATGTTTTCTTTCTTTGGTCTATAAAATAGGACCAGCAGAGTATTCTCTTTTGTCAGATGGGTTACATTGTACAGGAATCTAGTGATTACTTGCCGGTGACAATTTGCCCTCAGCTTGGATCAAGGTGAAATGGCTGATTTTTTTGCAATGATGACGTCCGAATTTCCTCTGTGGTCCAGACAGTGAATATCAATGATCATATTTTATGCATTTAACCAACTAATTTTGACAGGTTATATTACATATCAACCATTTCGGGATGGATGATATGGGGCTGAAGCTATTTCAATAATAATTTTCTCTATTTACACAACTTATATGATGAGCATAAGCTCAAAAAGAGAACTCAATTTTATGAGATTAACCTATTATAAGGAAAAACTAATTAAACTTATACATCCCATAACATTTATTAGATTTTTCAAGGTGGGACTCATTTAGCCTAAAATCCAGTTTAAGAAAGGCAAGTGTTTTTCATGGTCAGCACTAAAGTCTAGTACTAAAGTCTATTCGAGAAATCTATAGAGTGAAGGGACTAGTCATTACTGTTGACAAGGGATATCCCAAGTTTGACAACAGACAATTGTTGAATCACTTACTAATGTCATTAATGCTGAATGGTCATAATGATGATTGAACCATTTAACAAGTGTTCCAAAAAGGGGGGGAAAACAAAGAAAATGATTGAGGTACTTAACATACTGAGTAAAGTGAAATACTTTGTTCTGCATATTCTGCCATTTTCAAAGAACCATGCCCATGCTATTCCTGCCCAAAGCTGAGTCATTCGTCAGACTGATTTGTTAATCCATAAGAAAGCAAATAGTGAAGGAGAGAAGTTGAAGTGGGAATAATAATAATAATGAGAAAAACAGAAGTGTGTGTATCTCCGTATATAAAGATACACACAAAATTTAGGTTCTTTTGTTTGTATCTACCATATCTAATTCTCCAATCAAATCTTGTTATCAATGGTTTTTATTACTAATAAAGGTCTAATAAAATTTTGAAATTTTATCAACGTGAATATTTATTACTAAGAAAAGTTCATATGCTAAGATTTGATTGGAAAATTAGACTCAATAAATATGAGCAAATTGATCTAAGTTTTCTCATTTATGTTTTTATGCCTATTCACATTTCTTAGATGACTCGGTCACCGGCTAGCACATTAGCTAACACAGGATTTTTGAGTGGATTGGAAGTTTGTGGGGAGCAGAGATGTCAATGCAGAATGTCTAAAAGCTTAGCTGAGGCTTATACACAATGACAAGCCATTGGAGACTATGATTAAAATTGGACAGTATATTGAAATACAGATGATCAAAATAAACAAGAAATAGATAACTCCCCTAATAAGTGACGATTTGATTGAAAAAGATATTGACAGTATTTTGAAATATTGATGACCAAAATAAAATTTAAGACAGAAAGACTTAAATAATTAATTTATGATTAATTTTTCTTAAATTTTACGACAATTAAATGAACAATAATATATTTCAACTTTGAAATTACCCTTTTTGGGGGTTTATATTTGAAAAAATTAGTTAAAAATCCTGATCTGAGGTATGAATTGGGAAATGGGACCTAACATAATATAAATGTGTGCGGTTTAATAAGTGTGATGGGAAAAAGTTACATTACCCTAGTGACAGATGCTAGTTGCATATGACAAATGCTCACTTGGATATAACTAATTACTTATGACAGATACTCATTCATTTGATATTAGCATCCGTATTATGTAATAACTTGTAATAAGAACCTACATGCAAGTGAGCATCCGTATTATACAATAAACTTATATACAAGTAGGTATCTACCATATGCAATTAGCATATGTATTACATAAAAACTCATGCAAGTTGGCATTCATCATATACAATCAGCTTCCATTACATGTAAATGAGGATATATTATACAGAATTGACACTTTTCATAAGGACAATGTAGTTTGTTATCTATCTCATTTCCTGGCAATTAAGAATCCCACATCATTACATTGTTTTAGGTCCCATTTTCTAATTAAATGATTAATTTGTTAAGAGGGATTTTTTCTTGAAAAAATGACAAAAAAATTCTTGTTGAGTTTAAAAAAAAAAACCTAATAGGTCTTGCTAACTATTCTTGTACCACTCTAGTCCTTATTATTTCTCACTTGTAAGGAAATTTTGGTTGTTTTTATTTATCATTTATACCTTTTTTTTAATGTTTTATTTTTATTTCTGCTCTTATTAATCATAATAAAAGTGAAGAGAGGGGGAGTATGTGAAAGAAATATACTCGCTGAAGGATGACAACTATTTAATATCCTCTCTGTTATGTGAGAGTGGTAATTACGTTCCAAGAAATAGGCTTCAGTCTGCGCCAGGCAGCGCTTGGGCGTTCCTCGTTCGCCGTCGCAGTCACTCACGGTGCCCCACTCATCACTCCCTTAACTTTCCGCCTCTCCATCCCTCAGTCACACGGTCGCAGAGTCGCCGTTATCTCTCGCTCAGTCGACGGCTGGTGATTCATCCCCAGAAGACCGGAAATCTTGCTCAGTCCCGGTCTCGCTCAGACAACCTCACTCCCTTAGGTCTTCAATCGTGTAACTTTGCTCTCTTTTATCTTCACTTTTAGGTTTTTTTTCCTGCTTGTTCATCGGTGATTAGTTTGTGAATGTGATAGATGTTTACTTTAGTGTGCTCTTCTTCTGAAGTGTTATGATTGTGCTCTGCTTGTTCGCTTCCTTGCGGTTTCTTTCTTCCACTGCTTAATTTTGGTGATTCAAGCGCTGAACCGTGACTGAAGCCTGATTATGATGTTTCTTGTTAATGTTCATTCCCTTACGGTTTCTTTCTTTAGCTGCTTAATTTTACTACTTGTTTTGGTCTTTGATTTTAGGGGAGAAATTATGGTTCTAAGTTGTTTTATATACTTAAAAAGTATTGGGAGCTTGGAACTAGTACATATAAATACAGTTGATGATAATAGAGTCATACAGCAATCTTTCTCAATCATTTTGCATCATTCTCTTTATAATTCTGTATCAGTGGATGTAGCCATCCATATCATATTTGAATTAAAGTATATTATGCATAATAATTAACATGTTGCTGGTACCTTGAGACAATTTATTTGACATAAAATGTAAAATATAGTAACATCGTGTTGATAAGATCATGTGGGGCCCTTTGAATTTGAGGAATATAATTTATTTGAAGGCTTGCAGGATATACAATGATGGATAAGTTCCTTTCTTTTCATTATTTCTAATTTTTTAGTTGACTTGCTCCATTTTAGATATTTGTATAAGCTTCAATCTTTCTTGTCAAATTATTTTGACCTTTCATGTAATTTAATATAAAATATAGGTTAGAATAACTATGACTTACATTTCTGGGGATTGAGAACTATGGCACATGCTAAATTTTTCTGTAGGGGAACAAGATTTGCTTGAACTTGCGTTCTAATTAGATGTTTCAGTTGCAAGCCAAGTTGTGCGTTTATTTTGAATTCATTGTTTTATTGTGTAGGAGCGATTCAGATAAGAGATTACACCAAAAACTTGATTGGTGCTATGATGGTGGATTGTCGTAGATTTATTTTCAGTTCTTTAATTTTTGGGTTGGTCTAGCTTAGATGGATTTGAATTATATATTCTGTTGTGCAGTTGTCTTGTATGTATTATCATGAACTTGTTGATTGTGTTGTTTTATGGAATAATGTAATGTAAAATATGGAATTTTGTTATTTTATTGTTTGCAAGATTTAGGTTAACAAGTAGGCTTTTTATAGGCTCAAAACCTATTAGAGGCCTTCAAGGTTGAGACTATAAGCCTTTTAAAGGCCTCCTTTTTAAGTTGGCCTTTAAATAGGTCTGTAATAGGCGCAAACTTGAGCTTAGAAAAAAGTCTTATAGTGGCTATAGGCTAGGTTTAGGCATGGAGCCTACCTTTCAGGCTTAGGCCTATTTGGCAAAAGCCCGGCTTGTTTCCATCCTTAGTATAGCCCATTTTTCATCTAACTTCTCCATCATCCTCCTCATACCAGCAGCAACAAGCTTTGCTCTCCTGAATGTCACTTACCCAACATAGTAGAACTACCATTGTCTAGCAGGTCAGTTGGTCTTTGCCTTTTCTTCTCCCTTTTCTCTTTGCTGAATGCAAGGGATTGTATTCCTAGGAGGCTTTTGAGAGCAAGGTGGAAGAGAGTGGGGACTTTGAACTGAGAATTGAGGAAGGCAGATCAAACTAGTAGAGAAATTGGGAGGGGGAGAATGGAGGGAAAGTTGAGAGTAGAAAAGGAGGTGAAGCATTCATGTTGCTGAGTCGATAAGTTTTCTTCTTAACCATTGTTTAATGATGGTAAAAATCTGACATTTGCAATGAGCTCTTAATCCTGTTTAGGCCGTTGGGAACAGATATGTGGTCTTGTTGTCCTGAAGTTGACTTGCAAGCTATGCAATTAATAGGTTTGCTTTGTCTCTCTGATGGGTGATGAGATGAGTCTCATTTGGGGCCTATTATATTAGCTGGTTGAACTGTTTGATCCTCCTGTCTTTCAATGATTTTGGGCTCCTAGTTGACTTCATAGATCATTCTATTAGATGAGGACTGATGAGTCTTGTTTGCTTTGGACTTTGTGCACTCTGTGTGTGTGTGTTTTTGTGTGTGTAGTTTTTTAAGTTGGCATTGAGTAACGAGTCTGTGCTCCTTTCATGGATGACCAAATTTCCTAATGAAGCATAAGTAAGATTATGTCTATGTATACCACGCAATTATAGTCAATGCTGCCTCTAACGTCTGATTGATTTTTCTTGTCACATTTGATATGATCACTTGGTTTCCAAATGCTGCAGCAAGTTTGGCATTTGTTTTTTGTAGATTGAGAATTTAATTTTCTTTTCAGGGAGTGTGATGATGGATTTTGCAAATTTGCAATAGCTATATGAAGAGATATTCACAAGATAACCTATACTTTCTTATCTCTCTCTCTCACTCTTGTAATGATTCCATGTTGATAATTCCTTGAATAGGAGTCCAATGGACAGATTACGCCAGGAAAAAATACACAAGTTTGAAGAATTTGTTGATCAACGTTTGAAACCGGATCTTGTTCATGCTATTGCTGCACGGTATTGGATTGCTTTGCAATTTCATCTTTGATTTATGTTGGAAAGCATTTGTTGAGTTACCATTATCTTTTCTCCTACTATGGTTCCCTTGAACATAATATTGAAAATGCGACCCATCAATCTAGTACAAAAGATCTGTTAGATCTTACTAGTTTATAAACCATATTATTGCTCAATAATGTTTTGGTTTGTGGGATTAAATCTTTGTGATCTATAGGTTCAGTAATTTTTTCCGCAAATGTTATGCCTATAGTAGTGTTCCCCCTCCCCCCTCCCCCAATCATCTCACTTTGGTTTTGTTGGGTAATTATATTGATCATGTCAAATTTATCTGCACATGTATGTATCATTTCAATATAGTTTTACTTTTTAGTTGATTCAATTGATGTTCATAAACATTGCATTACATTATTTGAACTGCTATTACCTTTAAGTCCTTCTGATGGGGAAAGTATGGTGCCTACAAGGAGTATTACCACAAGCATGCTAGTGGCTTTCTGTATGCAAACTTTCAATCAAAAAAATTGCATGATCCATTCTGTAACATAGGAAGTTGCTTATAACTTCTAATTGCAGTTATCAAGGTTTGTTAAAAGGGAGATGATATTGTGTGCTACTGGACTAGTGATGAGACTACCACTTTTTATGGCTTATGAGCGTTTTGGTTTATAGAGGCCGTTATCTTATATGATCCTTTTTTCTTTTTTGGGGCTGAATCTTATATGGTTTCCTGACTGTTGTAATGTAGGAACATGGTCTATATTTCCTAACGTCCTGCACAAAGAATTAAAAAAGCAGTTGTATAATTTTATGTCTATCCCTGCGCATTTACTTATCTATCGCATTGCATCTTTCTTTTTTTTTTGGCAGGGACAAGGTCTTTGAACAACAAAAAATCTTGTATCCTTTTACTTTTGTATTTGTGCTGTGCTTTATCAGGCAGAATAAATTTGATGGTGTTATGTGCATGATAGATGTGAAATTCAGTATGTTACTCATAATGAAGCAATGCAGTTATTAAAACCATTAATCATGTTTCACTTGACTTGTATACTCAGCTCTGATTTGCGAAGGAACATTGAGAATCTAGACAAAAATAGTGTGACCAGCCTTAAAACGTTGGTCAATATTGGTTCTGAGGTGTACCTACAAGCAGAAGTGTAAGGGATTGGTATTTTTAACACTTTCTTGCTTCACTATCATGATTGTTGCTATTTATTTGTTCCTTTTATATTTCTGTCAATGGCTTTATATTTTCATTGAATGCCCTGTTACATTTAATTCTTGATTTGTGGGATTGGGTGTGATTGGCTGATCTTCTCTGGGGCGAGCATTCCCAACACTCCACACGCATAAGTTCTAGTTTTATATGTTAAATAATAATGATAAAAAGAAGTGAGCTAAATAGCGCTGTTTTTCATCATTTTTCAATATCTAGATAACCGTCATTCCCATGATAAATAAGGTAATATGCTATCTACATTTTATATATTCAATGATTTTACATTAAGATTTAAAGTTTCTAACCACATGAACCACATGGCTCAATTTCCAATAATGCAACTTTATTTTGGAATACCATTTTCTTCTCTAAAGTCTTGCCTTTTTGTGTTTAAACTTTTAAAATAAATTTTGCAGGCCTGATACACAGCACATATTCGTGGATATAGGTCTGGGATTCCATGTGGAGTTTACCTGGTCTGAAGCTCTCAATTATATAACCCAAAGGGAAGAAAGAATAAAAAGGTAACAATTGAAGTTTGCTCAATTGAAAGCATACTTGTCCTGTCCTATATAAGTTTTCTATGTTTTTACCAGGTTGAATTCGTAGATACTATGCAACAATTGATTTATTTATGTGGAAAAGTATGAATGGAAAAATGAAACTGACTACATCTATAAGAATGTTGTACTGATATATACCATACGCCTCAAGTAGTAGGAGGAGACAGGTTTAAATTGCCTGGTTTAGTTAAAACATAATCAAATTTTGGGAGGAGACAGTTAATGTAGTTAAGTTGGACAGACATAGAAACCTAATGCAACCTGGTATAATAGATTCTGAATAGTTTCAAGTATTTAGGGCTAGTTGATCTTAGTTTGATAACTATCACTTGCCAGGAAATTCAACGAGTTAGAGAATTTTGCGGCTGTCCATTACATGAAGCAACTAAATATGCTTGCTTAGGTCTCACATTTCAAATATTTATTATTGTTTCAAAATTGTGATAATGCCTTTTACTGTCTTGTGTTTCTTTTTTCTTTTCTTTTGTGTGTCATAACTGGAGCTATTATCCTTTTCTTTTGTTCCGACCTTTTTCTTTGGCGTTTTGCTTTTCTCTATCAACCCCCCCCCGGGGGGCGCCCTTCATTCCCCTTCCCCCGCCCGGGCCTTTCACTCCCTTTGGCTTCCCTTTCTTTTTGATTTTGTAAGGTTGGACATAACATTGGAAGTTGAAATGTGGATTTACTTGCATTCTGCAGGCAATTAGAGGAGTATACAAAATTAATTGCTTCAATCAAAGCCCAGATCAAGCTGGTAGGTGTAGTTGATTGTTTCACATACTTTGTCCAACTAATCTTCTCACATAAGGATGATTGGATTCTACTTTTAAAATCACAAAAAGGGTAATGTTTGACATGGGGTTCCACGACTGACCCAGAATTGGATGTTTCCTGGGATATCATTTGCAGGACTCACAAGTAAATAATATAAATAGTATTATCACTTCTCATTTCAAAACAATGAGAGCACCATTTCATTGGTTGCATGCAGGTTTGTGAGGGTATTAGGGAGTTGCTTCAACTTCCGGCAGAGAAGCCTTTACCAGAGCGCACATTTTGATGTTAACCAGTAGATACACAAATTGTTTCTAAAGAAATTGCAAGCGGAACAGAGCTGGGAAAGATTTCACCCATGTTCATTTTTTCACAGACAAGATTGTACCTATCTCTGAGCATGTAGTGAAATTTCAAATCGATCTTGTTGCCTGTGATCAAAATGCTAAACTGTGAGCGTTTGGAAATTGGATCATGAGCCATGAACATTGATGATATGAATATAAGAGAAAGGTAAAAGGAAGTATTTTAAGGAAGAGAGAATATATGCCCATTGATGGGATAAATAAGTATTGACTTATTATTAGAATATAGCTATAAATGAGATGACAAGTGTCTAGTAAATTGTGCGGTCTTCTCATCATTTTCCTTTTACCGGAAAGTTAATAGGACCTTTTAATTCTTTCCTTTCTTTTTTCTTTTTCCTCTAACCGCTTGTAGTTTCTTAATTGGAAGCAATTATTTTCAGACACTATTGGATATTAAATGCGAGTATTTTTTTAGGAATGATTCGAATATTGATTTATCATATTGTGAGAAATTATTATTATTGTTGTTGTTGTTTTGCTAAATCCTGGTGCGTTCTGACTTTTCATGCTTCATGATGAGTCGAAACTAAATTGGAGCTTTTGGTGGGTCGTTAGGTTGGGCCTGTGTTTTTATTTGCACTTGGGCTTCGTTGGGATTGTTTGATTGTGTTGGTTACTTGTTTGTTTTGGGGGCCAAGTGTGTCTGCATTATTTTACTCCCTCTTGTACTGTACATAACAAAAATTTAAACAAACCATGTAGACTACTACATTCATTAAAATTAGCTAAAAACAATAGATGTGTAAGAAATATAATTTTTTTATAATATACCCTTATTTATGAAAATGGTGAGAGAATGAGTGGGGAAACAGATAAGAATGAGTGGGGAAAAAATGAGACATGTAATTAGCTTGGGGGCAATAATTATCAAATAAATACAAAATGCGGCTTATATATAGTATCAATCTTATTTGAGATAACATTTTGGAGAGAATGTTGCTTATATATATATATATATATATATATATAAATAAAACAAGAAATGTTTTTTTTTTTAATAAATTGTCTTACCATTACCAATTTGCTATCCGACAAGCGTACTTATGAAGAATATAAGAACCTTAAATACTTTGTTTGATGACGATTACTCTTAAGCCTAGAATGATCTGGGACACATAAAAAAGTTGTCTTACTATTAAAATAAAAGATTATGTACATAAAAAAACTAAATGCCAGCGAGGAAAAACCTGGGACTAACGTCAATTATTTCCTCTTTACTTCTATGCATTTACAATTACAGTCGAAGTTGTCCTCTTCTATAAACAAGAGGGAAAAATAGAAAAAAAGAAGAGATTGGTTCAGCTTTATAGAGGTTAATTAGGTTAATAATTATTAGTAAAAAGAAAGGAGCAGGAAGAGAGGACCACGGAATGTGGAATCCAACAGAGATACCAAAGTTATCTGAGTAAGCATACTAAGGATTTGACAGCACAGAGAAAAAAAGAAAACTGAATTTGAAGCAGACAACAGAGTACCATCCCACACAAAACACCACTTACCGTCAATCTGCTTCATAAGCCCTACCAATAAGAAAGACAGGATTGGATTGAAATGATGGCACCAATAATACAAAACAACAAAAACCCACGACGTGTCATATCTTTGTCTCCTTCTCTCTGTTGTGTTTCTGGTTTGAGGGGTTTTATGATTCTGAATGATATATCATTCATTCATCGTCTTGCTGCTTTGTGCTGTGGCTGGTGTCATCACTCTTAGGTTTTGATGTAACAGAACCATCAAATCTCCTAATTAGAAAGTGTTTGGATAAGATAAAATCATGGTTTGTAAAATAACTTCTGGAAAATAAATTTTGGAGAGAATAGATTTTGAAAGAATAACTTTTCTGAAAAAGTGATTCTGATAAAATGAAAGTGTTTGAATAATTATTGTCAGAAGTGCTTTTTGATATGTAGAAATTACTAAAAATGATATAAGTTTAAATGATAATTACATGTAAGATATCTTTCATAATATATATTTATTTGAATTAATAAATTTGTTAATAATATATATTTTGGCAAAATAATAATAAGACATAAATAATATAAATAATAAAAAATTAATGTGTATATATATTAATAATATAATTAAATATGTTTTTAGGAAAATGATTTATTTTGCCAAAAAAATATTATTATTTCTTAAAGATGATGCCTTGTAACCGAGAGTGAAGGAATATTGACGCCTTGTAACCGAGAGTGAAGGAATATTGATGCCTTGTAACATTTCCTGAGCCCAGCTCCAGCTATCAATAATTTGAAGACAGAAGCTTCTCCGGATGGCTTTTTTTCAAACCATGGTTTTAAATTTTTTTGGGGTGTTTGGCTGATTTCATGGTTTGGGGACCCAAACCACCCAAACCATAGTTTGGAAAGAAAGACAAACACCCCCTTAATCTCCTTTTTACTTTCACTTATCCCTCTATTTAGTTATGAACTATGGTGCTGCTTTAATATGGGTTCATTTTGTTTGATCTTTTTCTTTTCTCTAATTCTCTCAAAGTTTCTGTTGTATTGAGGCTGTTGGCAATGCTATGTTTGTTCTCCTACTGCTTTCACAGGGTATTGAAGGACGTGCTTTCCAGAGTACAACTGTTAACAATAAACAGGACTCTTCGGTTTTTTATTTTTAAGAAATGATCTTATGGTATTCTTAAATATAAAAAATAAATTCTCTTTACTTAAAATTTTAAATTTGTCTTTTTATTTTTACTCTCATTAAATATATGTCAGCTGTTATCTTTCTATTATAAAATTTTTCTCATTATCTCACATACCTTTTTTACAAAACAAGTATATAATTGTAAAAATATGTATATATACTTTACATATATATTATTTTTAACTAAATTTAACTAGCATTTTCACTCGTGTGATTTTAACAATTGTTTCTTACAACAAGGAATGAAGGGAGTATTAATTTCATAAAATGCAACGAAAGTGATAATACATAAAATTAGAAAGGTTTATCCCCTTGGTAAGATCATATCTTCAAAGGAGAAGGTTTAAATATATATACATATCTATGAAAATAGTTAAGAGTTGTAAGCCTTGTCTTAGCAATTTTAAAATTCAACTCATCCAAATTTTATTCTAAAAAAAGGTATGAAGGGATTTTTATACTCAAACTACTCTCCAGCCTTAAATATAAAACTCATTTTGTAGTGTAAATATATAAGACTCATTTTAAAATGTAATCTACATTACAAAATGAGTCTTATACTTAGGACCGAAAAAGTATTTCACAAGTAGTATTGGGTGTTCTAAACTATTTATTGAAACAATATTATTTTTTAAATGTTAAAATCATTGCAATGTTGTCCTTTGATTGTTAATTGTTAGCTTCATATTAAAAAGTATTTTGTCCCTAAAATATTTAAGGAGGAATAATGGGCACCTTAAATAATGATATTGGAAGAGCTCCATTGTATTATCATTTATAAGTACTATTTAAATATTTTTTAAGTCACGAGACTTGTCATAACCACCTTGACAAACTTAATATTCAACTTATCTAAATTTTATTTTTACGACAGGGGAAAAAAAAAACCTAAAATGAGCTGTTACGAGGAGAATACTATGCCTTATTGTGATCAAATCTCAAGATGCAAATTCAAATTTCACCACTTAAGCAAAGTTCTTGATGAATATCATGCAAGTATCTTTATGAGTAACTTTTAATTGAGTCTATTTCAGTTTTAACGAGCCTGAGCCTTAGGACCTATATCTTGTGAGTAATTTTTAAGTGAGTCTATTTCAATTTTAACAAGCTGAACCTTAGGACCCATTTCACTTATACTTTATAATTGATTTTAGGAAAGAACTGAAAAAAAAAAACACACACACACACACAGAGAGGCAGAAGATAATGATAGGAAGGCCCCCCACTGTATTATTGGCTTAGGAGACAATGTGTTACTTGCAACGGGCATGCAATACTCAAAAGAGGGTAAAACACAGAGATAAGTGGGAGAGACAGAGAGTGGTGGGGAAGAAAGATATTTAGAGAGAGAGAGAGGGAGAGGGAGAGGGAGAGGGAGAGAGAGAGAGAGAGATTGCTGATACATAATGCAAATATATGTCTTTCTTTGTGTGTTTGATATATATTCAGCTTTTTCCCGGGAAAAAAAAGGGCCCTAAAAACGAAAAAAAGAGACTTGAGAAACTCAGATAGACATGAGTTCAGGGGCTTTACCATTACTCTCTTCCCCCTGAAAACCTGAAAGGCACACCTTTTCTTGCCTCTCTCTTTGCACCCTGTGATCATTCAGTCCCTGACTTGGGGTTCCATGCTCAGTGGGCCCACCAAGATTCTTTTATTACATGCTCAGGGAAAAAGTACATTTAAGATTTGAAAAAATATAAAAAAAATTTCAAACTAAACTCATCCATACTAGTTGATGGAAATTTTAATGTAAGATTTCAATTTCTTTTATCTTCTCTGCACATATATGTCTCAAATTATTTTATAGCTAGACTTATCAATTATCATATTATTAAAATAATAGGTATTTTAGGAAAATTAATCTATATTTTTTTTATCAATAACTAAATTCACTATCAAATTTTGAGAGTAGGAAGATAAAATTGGAGAAATACATTATATCTATATATCCACTGAAGGGTATTTACATCATTATATACACTGATTCAGAAAGATAAAAGAGGAAAGGCCATAAATATATCACAACAGTAAAGAATCAATCAAAGAAGAACCAAATGAAATCAGATAAATGGTCCTTAACTCTAGGAGTTACTTTTGGGGTTTTCACAAGTTTTTTTTTTGGTAAAAAAAAAAGCAAAAAAAGAAAGTATCATAACATGGAAATTGACCTTGGACAGCTTGTATATGATTAGATAGTTCAAATCTTACATCACATGCCTATTGTACTCTTATGCTCCGCTAATCCCATCTTGCATTTACTGTTCTACTTTTCTGGTGCCTCAATCTCAGATATCACAAGAAAGTGGCTATACATCAAATGGCATGGCAGGAACATAAAATATAATAATTAGCAGTAGAACATGAGCTTCTTGATGTTCTCACTAAGTTTTGGAAGAGGAGCTGTCTTTGGAGGTGCAGGTCTAGATAGTGAAGAGATACCTTTAGACAAAGCAGAGGAATCTGACCTGTCAAGGTAGAGTCTGCCTCTGTACGCAGCTAAATGGGCATAATAAGCAGGAGGAACCAAAGAAATTGGCTTGGTGCATCTAACAAAAGTATAGCATAAGTTGTAAACCAGCTTTTGGAGTTCATCAGAAGTAAACTGGTTTTCATCCCACAAAACATGGTAATGAGTTGGCCTGCTTGTTCCTTTCATGCCCCAGTGGCTGCAAAGATAAAAATCGAACTCCCTCGGATGAGTGATCACAGAGTCAACCACAGTCCCTGGTGGGATATTCTCATAACCATAATGATTTTTTGTGGATGACTGATCAGTTTCAAAGGGAAACAACCTTGTGTGATGCCTCTTCTGCACTACTACAAAAGTAATGAATGGTTTATAACCAAGAAATCTAGAACATGCCCCTTTGATGGATTGTAGTTCATCTTGAAGAACTCTGTAGAATTGGGTTTCGCTAACCCCATCTCTAAAGAAAATTATTCTCCCCGGGAGTTTCTTTACCTCCTGATAGAAATCATCTAGTAACTCCTTCACCATTGCACCAAGATCCTGGATGATTTCTTGTCGGTGTTTTTGCGACCTTATTCTTGATATATATTTGTTTGCAGTAGGCCAATTCATGCTACCAACAACGGCAGCAACAGATGGACTATGATCATCAAGTGGATGAGGATGAGTTACATCAGCACCCATAAATATAGCAGGTTCATCATACTTGAAGAGTCGTGGAATTTGACATGGAAGTGAATTGTACAGGGCAACAGTGCATCCACCAACTTTGGCATTGATTTTGAGAGCCAAATTTGCCAAAAATTGTGAACTTAATTTACTGAGATTTGGATACAAGCAGCATTGGCTCACAACCCCAATACTTGTCTCTGCAATTCTTTTCAAGTCTGCATATCCTTTGTGTTTTCTCTCCATAACACAAATGAGCAGCTGTAGATTGTTTGAGGCACTTCTCTGGATTTTCTCGAGCTTAGATTCAAGAAGGGAGACATTATTAAGCACCTGAGCTGATTCAAAATGGGGCCCAACAATTGTGTCCTTGTTAAGAAAAATGCCCATTTCTGCACACCTTTGTGATAGCTGGCTTATAAAGCTAGGGACTTTGGACTTCTGTTCAGGTGTACCACCAAAGCCGATTAATGCCCACCGCTCAATTTTAGTTCCCTCAAAGACATGACCATCCAGAAGGTTCCACTGGCGGTCATGGCGTGAAGGAACCAGCTTCGTCACATGACCTCCATTTCCAAGTTTTAGCTTGGGAGGATGGAGAATTCTCCCAGATAAACGAGTCATTTCTCTTGACACTTGGAGGTTGAATTCTCTTTCCTGGTTGCCACTGCCAAAACGATTCCTTCAAGATATTAGAAACTAAAACAAGATAAAGGATTTACATGAGTACATTAAAATCATACAAAATAATTAAAATGCAAGAAAAATGGAACTACAAGAAACAACTATCATGGGGTTACCTAGTTGGCCCAACAGGCCCCCTCATGACTCCTTCAATGATGGCTTTTCGTTCTCTTGGTCTTTGGCAGCCCATCTTGAGTATTTTAGCAGTTTGATCATCAGAAAGCTTCCCAAGAAACTTCTGGCCTTCACAGATGACACAAAGCTCCATAGGAAGATAACATGGCTTGCTCCTACTAATTTGCAAGCATGGCAATTTACTAAATTGTATGTCATAGTTATAGTGATCTTTAAAATAGCTCAGGAGCCTCAGATTCTTTCCATCCCTGTCAGTAAACCAAAGATTTTCAGTAGCCTCCTCGGTTAAGCCATAGACACGATATCTCTGAACAGTTTCTCTATGACAAACGAAGACCCTGATGTTCTTCAAGGCCTTCTCCACTTCTTTCTTCTCTTGACCTGTTAAACTTGTTGTCTTCTTTTCAGAAAGATCTCGAAGGAACTCAAGACGCTTCTGCAAATATGGAATCACTCCTATGCTTTCATGGAAAGCAGTCACAGAAAAGTCAACATTGAGGGCAAGTCCTTGTTGAGTGGGTCGAAGACTCTGAAAGAACCCTCTCAACCCAGCAGCTCCTCCCCCAATCTCTTTGGTTCTTCCCATTGATGTTGAATAGAAAGACCTACCCGCAGGTATACACTTCTCAGTTGGACTCTCCCTCAGAACTACATCCAAGGCATGGAGATAATCCTGCGGAAGTGGAATCCAATCATCTTCCTCTTTGCTCAAGTATTTTGCCAACTCCTTCCCATTGATCTTAGAGACTAGTTTTATATTTATTCGGAACAGTTTAAGCTGTTCATGCCTCTCTTTCAAGTCACATATTTCTCTATCAGGTGATGAGCCCTTGCTCGCTGGGATTGGCAGGTTTACGTAAAACTCAAGCTTATCATTCTGGAATTCAACAGAGCTGTAAAGATTCTTCTGCCCATCATAAGCGGGAAGAGCACCACAAAGCACAGCAGAATTATTATTAACAAACTTCTCTTTGATTGCTCGGGCAACTTGCTTGGAGGGATTGGGAGTAATTTCAACATTGTAATGGTATATTTTTTGTGATGAATCGAACTTCACTAGAAAGTGATTGGCAAGGAGCGAGATGGCAGAGCCCTCTTTGCCACCGGAGTCTGGCCTCCTTGCGGCAACTAATGGCTGTGGTTTTCCGGCAGGTATGAGTTTCTTCCCATCATCTCCTTTAAGGGACGCCGTGGCTTGCTGATGAGACCCCTTGGGAGCTGAATTAGCATGCGGAAAAAAAAAAAAGATGGCATAGAAGAATGATTGAGATGACCCTCCATTCTATAAGGGAGATCAAAAGAGCAAAGGCAATAATTATAAATGAAAAACTCTTAACTGTAAAGTTATAAATTATTAAAAAAAAAAAAAAAAAGCCAGCCAAAAAGACTCACGATTGAAGAAGAAGATAACAATGAGATACAAGAATTAGCTAAATTCACTATTTTATTTACTGTTTTATTCTATGTGAGTAATGAAATTGATCTGTTGACAAAAAATTCTGCAAAAAACGAGTAAGCTTATACAATGAGGCACACTTCTGCCTTCGACTACAAAGAGCAAATTTATCTACCAAAAGGAATATCTTATGCATTTGTAGTATCTACCAAAGAAAAAAGAAACAGGGAAAAAATCATAGTTTCTCTGAAGGAAAACAATCATGCAGGTGAAGGAAGTAAACGAAGGAGCTATAGAACGAAGATTAGTGTTACCATGAGAAACTGTGTCTGCTGAGACTTTGTTATAAGATGAGGCAGCAAAGGGAGAGTTATTCAGCTTGCATGGAGACTTCTGGGAATGGGTTTTCGATTTGACGGTCTGGTTTTGAGTGAACGATGGCGTCAAAGCTAGTTGCAGCGGTAGAAGAGAAGGTAGAGGAAGAAGAGCCGGGTGGTACCTCTGATACTCGTTCTGGTAGCAGAACCCAAACTGAGTCGAGTATTGTTGTAGCAGCTGATGCTGATGATAGTGATGATGCTCATGAGGGTTAGCTCCGCCTCTGAAGCTTCTTCTTTTTGTTATGAACTTCTTTTTAGCATTGGGCTTGTCTGTCTGTTCCATGATTTGATTTGATTGCGAGCAAAATGATAGTAAGAGAGAATTTGAGAAAAACAGAGAAGGTGGGGTGTTAAGTTTAAGATTGAAGACGTCACAGCAGAAACTGAAGTTATTGCACACGCACTGAGAAGTAGAGAAGAAAAGGCAGGCCAGGAAGGGGTTTTGTATCTCTCAATTTCTCAAGAAATTCGCATTGTCAAATTCAAGATAACAGAGACATACCTGAACTGTGTATTCATGATACTTGTAGTTCTTCCCCCTTTTTTAAATGAAATAAACAGTCAACTTTAAAAGAAACTTAGATCATTCAAATTTCAATATGCAGTAATAAAGATAATCACACATAAGAAATCGCTGCATTGAAGTGGCTCCCACATGCATAGCATTTTTCTTTATTTACGAAACGGCACCATCAATTTCTATAAAAATTTGAGAGAATCCTAACAAAGAAGGGAAGAGTGAGCAGCTTTGGGTTTTGGTCCTTGGCGGTTTCTTTGTCCTTTTTCTGAAATAAGGGTTTGAGATTGGTATAATATATCGTATGGGAAACTGGCAAGCCTTAAATGAGAGAGAGTAAAATGCCCTTCACTACAAAAGAGGGCATGTCTTTATGGAGTTTGCAATCTGTCTGGAGAAAAGTATATGTTAAGGCATTAATACCTTCTTACATAGTCCTCGCGTACCTGTCAAAAACACACAAAAGACTAGCCTGCCCTTTCCCTTTGGATGTATTGGGAAGTCAAATGGTAAGAAATAGGAAAAGACGCTCTTTTTATTTTCTTGTTTTTATAATGAAACTTACATTTATGCTGATAGAGATTGGTCGTTCATCTTCCCGTGTCTGGGGTCAACTTGATTTCACATTTTGTCTTTCTTTAGCGGTATTGCTAGTTTTCCCTCGTCTTAAAACATCATCATCCCCTATGTTAATCAATATTGTCGTCTATTTTGAGCAGGCTTTAATCAATGCCATACACTGAACTTGCTGCGTGTCATGTAAGAAGCCTTTGTCAGCAGCACTGTGTTTTATCAAACCACCGCTCTTCACAGCAAAGAAAATATTAAACATATTCTTTGACTCTGGACCACTAAAGCCATTTTGCACGCCAGAAAAAATGGTCACAGGAAGAAACAAGAGAAAAATTCGTGATCATGCCAATCCAAATATGAAATCAAATCACTCCTGATGGATATTAAATAGAATTCAGGGGGGTGAAAAGAAAAATTAGAATTTGTTTACTTAAATTTTACGAAGATAGAGTCATAGAGATAGATTCCACCTTTCGTCCTCTCTCTGTTTTTTTTTTTTTTTGAACCTCTTTGCTTCTTTCCAATCCTAAGAGCAAGTTTAAATTCAGCAAATAATGTATCCAAAAAAGATCACCTGCAGTTTAGGATTCTAAACACATATTTAAGAAGAAAATCAAATGGCTTTTCCAAAATGAAATGAAAAAGCCAAAGAATATGAAGATGGTCTTAATTATATTTATGTACTCTTTACCGAGGCAAATTATCTTCTGTTCCTTTAAACTCTTGAACGTCATTATGCATATAGTGATGTGTAGAAGTTTTAGGTCCAAGCCTATAACCGGCCTAACTCCAACCCTAACCCTGGGCTTAAGCAGATAGATGTTTTAAAGAGCACAAGAATTAAGTTCCTAACCAATAACATAAATTCCCCGGAAAAGAACATGAACCATATTGTGCTTGTCTCTTTCTAGTTCCCAGTTTCTGCCCCATCTTTTGCTGACAGGATTTTACTGGTGTGGGACTAGGAAGGGCCATTCATGCACTTATGAAGGTGGGTCTATCAGGATAAACCTGTGAAGTATATAGTGATGGGGCAACATCATTTGTGTGGAGCCTTCTATGATCATGTATTTATTTGAATCTAGACCACTTCAGTCCACCGATTGCCCCCATTTTCTTTTGTTTATGATTTCTCAAGCATAAAGCCAAAAGTTCAGTCACACCTAAACAAGTTGCATCTAGGAATAAAAAGGTGGATAGATAATAAAGCTCATCATTAAGGGATATATATGAGTAAGTTCTATCTTTGACGTATCTTTGTAAATCAAGTCAAAGTAAGAATATTTCTTCTATGCAGAACTTGACATAACTGTGACATGATTGCGTCATGAATCATTACAAGTTGTATTTTTCAACCAAGGGGAAACGAAAAGTTACTCAATGCTACTGATGAAGCGAAGACGTGGCACGATGATCGATCTTCGTTGAAGTGAAACTGAAACTATTCAATCACCACTCACCAGCAATCTGCCGGCCCTAGAAAGTTTCGATGAATGCAATTTCATTCTCCAAATTTTTGACCCATTTGTCTTTGGGTCACTAGAACTGAAAAACGTCGCTGCGAATAAAAATGAAGAACAAAGGACGCTAAGAAAGACAAAACGCAGACGAACAGAATTCCGCAGAACCAATGGGTCGATTATGCTTTTGAATCAGTGAACAAGTCAGGTGTGGATGATCGAAAATGACGAAAACGTCGAACAAAATTGCAGGAATCGACCATGAATGTGAGCCTCAAATGATTAAGACAAAAACGTAGACACTAACAATGAAAAAAAGAACACGTAAATATAACAAATGATCACAATAATCTCGCTGTATTTAGCATCGTCTTCGATTTGAAGAAGTGAAACTCCAGATTTCATCTTTTGTGCGACTCTGGGATGGAAGTGTGCCGCACTATTTTTTTTTATCAAATATATTTTGCTTATTGAACTGAATCAGTTTTTTTAAAAAAAAAAAAATTATACCAGCTTCCATTCTAAATACAAAATTACAGTACTACAAACTAGATCTTATATTTAGGATCAAAATTACCATATTTCCAAGTATATTTTATGTGTACATATATCTCATAAGCATTGGGAGAGAAACACTAATGTTGGGGGAAAAAAAGGGCAAGAAACACTAAAGAGTGAATGAGAAAAAAAAGATGCGTATGCATTATAAAATTATAAATTATAAAATAAGTGTATACATTATCAAGGGCAAAAGTAGAAGAAGCCAAGGGCCTATCATGCTTAACGTAAGAGTTAATTGACTAATTTAAGTTAATTCAAAAAATTAGTTAAGTTAGGTATTTATAATAAGTATATATTGTCTTCCTTAAAATACTATTGCTAATTATGTATATTAGCTAGAATTATCATTTGATAAAACATTTAATATGTGCAACTATTACAAGGATTACTTTGAGAAAATAGACTAAAATCTTATATTTAGAACTAAATTAAATGTCAAACTAGCTCTTATATCAAGAACCAGAAGTAGTAATATAAATCAATTTTATAATTTATTTAACCAACAAAGATTAGATCTAACGGAAGAAACTGATCCCTTATAACATAGCAAACCAAGATTAGAATCTCGTTGGGAAAGATGCATACATTTACTACTCAACAATGTCTCGAAAAGATTAACTCCAATAAAAAGATACATGTGCCTTAGCAAAAAATTTATAAATTATTTATAAAATTGTAAACTTTGGTTTGACCCAAAGTTTCATATCAAAACATCCTTTAAAAAAAAAGTATGCATGTAGACTCAAGTCTGGGTTTAAGCTATATATTGAGTGTAGACTCAAGCTTATTCAGCCAAAGCCTGGTCTAACCTAACATATTTCTATCCACATTATGTTTATATTGTCATAATTATTTTGCATTTTATTGAATGATTCTATTGCAATTTTTTTTTTTTTGATACTAGATTCTATTGCAATTTTAAACGAGCCTTTATAGCTCATGTGGATTTACTTAAAATGTTTATAAATACGTTTTATATAAATTAAGTCAAAACTCCTTTTTGTTATAAATAAAGAAGAAATATAGAGAAGAATTATACAGAGAAAAAGAGAATCAATAAGAGAGAGTATTTCTCATTTCATTAAGTGTGCTTAATACATTATACACGGCCTTTATTTATAGACACAGCTTTATACCTTTGATAGAATCTACAAATTACATAATAATATGAGATAATTGTGGGATATAGAGATAATAGAGATATTGAAGATTATAGAAGATATAGGAGATAATGGGAGATAGATAGACATTCACAAAAATATTATTATATTCATAACACTTTCACATATATTTTTAGTCTCATAAAATTCATACTTCTAGTCATTAATATTAGTAAAATAAAATGCTAAATTGTTATCCAATTTCTTTTTTTCTTAATGGAGTGTTATCAAATTTCTAAAACTAAACCAATATTATTATAAAATATTATACAAAGCACAAGCTAAACACTAAATAATAGCAATATCACCAACATGCTTTTCATTATTATCTTCAATATCAACAATATTTGATTATACTTTACTATGAGTAGGCTCTTCTTTAGTGACAAAAATATCAAGATTTTCTATTTTAAATAAATTTCACTTCCAAGTTTTACAATCTAATTATCATTTTATTTTAATTTGGGATACATTACCATTGAAACTTATAAATTTCTAATTCAAATTATAAAATCACAAGTTACAAGTTATATAAGTATAAAAATACTCTTTTATTACATATATAGATGTAGTTTAAAAATATCAACACATATAATATAAATCAAATTATTATCGAAAGTCCAAATTAGTTTATTTTTTAAAGTTCAATCGAACAAATCATTGTCTAAAATGAAGTAAATCAAACAATTATATGAAATTCAATTTTAAAAAGATAATTATAACTAAATATTTGCAATATCATTAAAAATGTAAAAAAAAATCATAGTAAAATTACATAAATAATTTTTTTAAAATAATAAATGGGCCTGTTTAGGCCCTCGTCCCATTAGAGCTAACACTTTTAAGTCTTTTTTTAATTTGAAAAGCAAAATCACAAACCCGATCTTCATAATTTTTGGGCTTAAATAGATTGGTCTGACAATGTCAACTCATTTTTTCCGCTTTGGAAGGAGTTGCAGTTTGTAATATTCACATGTCAAAATCAACTATCAACAAAAACTTATAGTTATTTCGTGTTATCAAACATTTTTATATGTACATGCTAGAATCAATTATGAAATTGAAAAGTTGATAATAGCATCTTATGAGATAACTATGCTTTTGAATTCATAGATAATTTTGACATGTATAGGGGTGCTTGGTGAATTATTCTTTCTCCTACGGCCAAAAAAATAATAATAATTTTTTCTCTTGAACATTACTCCCTCCGTCCTAAGAAACAACTATGATTTCTACTTTGTCCTTATATAAGAAACATTTGTAAAATGTCTTAAATTTTCTTCACCCTATTAATTATTTATTTGAATACTTAATATATTTATTATTTTATTTTTCAAAGTATCGTTCTTTTTATTTTAATGATTTCCTCATTCGCTCATTTACTCTCTCTCGTAAATAAAAGTATTTTTTAGAGAAATCTTACAACTTTTACATATTTATTGTATTTAACTAATTTTTTTTATCTATGTAATTTGATCAAGTGTTTCTTATATAAATAGAGGCGGAGTACAAATTTAAGACTTTGAATTTAAACCATCCAAATTAAATTGGATAACTCAAATCATATCATATTAGTAAGCACTATTGTTGTGATGAGTTGTGAAATTAATAAGAACTTTTGGTAACTCCAAATAGTAAGAATCATTGTAAATTTAAAACATTATGGAGAGAGATCTAACTAATGGCCAAAACTATGGGTGTTTAATTTGTCCCGTCCCAGTCCCGGTAAACTCAAGACCGGACAAGACGAGACAAAAATATTTTAGAATGGGACAAGTACAGGAGGAGATGGCCGAGATTTTTTTTTAAAAATTATTTATTAATAATATATATTATTCAATTTATTTATTATAATAATTATTATTATTTTATAGTAATTTTTAGCTCTTAAGAGTATTATCTCAACAAAATCTCCTTCCTTGATAAAATAATTCATAAAGCCATTATATAGTGTTTCTTTTACGGTATTTTTTTTTTACAGTATTGTTTTTATACTTTTTATATACTATATAATTGAGCTTTTTGTATAACATTTTTATCTTTAAAAGCCTAATAAAAAATAAACATTATAACATTAAAAAAATACATATAAAAACTTATAGTTTTTTCTAAAAAAAAAAAAATGGTTAGGACCGAGACCAAACCCGAACTGACGGAACACGGGACAAAAGTCCCGTCCCGTTTCTGTTCACTAGGATGGGATCGGGACGGACCTGTCCCGGTCTCATCCCGTGAATAGCCATAGCCAAAACTCTCAACAACGAATAAATAAAAGAATTAAAGGATACAATCTTTTTTAACTTATTGATCATCATGAAGGTACATGAAATAATGGGCTAAGAACTAATTAAGAAGCAATATAATCCCCTAATGTAAAAAGTCCTAATCCCAATTATTCCGTCCTAATTTGAAGAGTAGATAAATCAAGCAAAATATATCCCCTAATGTAAAAGTCCTAATCCCAATTATTCCGTCCTAATTTGAAGAGTAGATAAATCATTAATCAAGAGATTAAGAACCCCATCTTATTGGATTGAAGGAGAAGACTCATCAAAAATTTTCCAACCCATCTGCATTATTTTCTGATCCAAATTGCAGCCTCAAGCACTCAGAAACACCACCGTATGTATAAAGACAAGCTGAGAATTTTCTTTCATAATTTCATCCTAAAAGTTTCTCTGAGAAATGATGCTTCGTAATTTTCGGCATCATTTTCATATCCGTCTTGCTGATCCATTGTTGGCCCCATCATCTCTTCTGCTATCTCAAATGGAGAAGAAGAAGACGAAGAACAAACCGTTGATCCCACGTTATCCAAAAACTGGAAATCCACGAGCCGCCACATGTCAGATTCGAATCTAGTTTCAATGTTTTCCTCATCATTCACTTTCAATTGCTTCCCAGAAGAATTTTCTTCGTTAAATCCTCCTTCATCCAAGTTAGTCTTGTTTCCTGATCTAAAACTGACTACGTTTGAGAGAAAACTATTGTCTGAGTCGTCTAGAAAGTGGTGCAACTGGGATTCTAAACCTGTTTGGTTACTGGGAAAATAATGGCTGACTTCAGAACTATTATCAGATACACAGTCGCGTGTTTAGCCTAGAAAGCATGAGATTAGCCATCTCATTTTCTTCTGATTTTCCTTCACTTTCTCCTTTTTCAACTCCCAAATTCATTTTCCTCCCCCACCCCTCTTCAATCACTCCATCACTACAAAATTCACCACCATTATTATCAGATCCAGGAAGGAAATAACCAAGCTGGGTCAACTTTGGTTCTGCTGCTGTTTCTTCTTCTTCTGTTTGGTTACTGGAAAAATTACAAGAAGAAGCAAGGTTTCGAGCTTTGAGCCTAAGAAGGATGAGATTAGCAATCTTTCTGGGAAGAACTGGATTTGCTGGGGAATTACTAAACTGAGAAGGCCAGAAGTTTCTGCGAGTGTTCGCTCCACGAAGCAAGCAAGCTGCTTCATCATAAGCTCTCGCAGCTTCTTCTGCAGAATCATAAGTCCCTAACCAAACTCTTATGTTCTGAATTGTGTCTTTGATTTCAGCCACCCATCTCCCTGAAGGTCTCTGACGAACCCCGATGAATCTCTTTCTTGTTGATCTTCGAGCTTTCAGAAAACTAGCAGCCATGGCGGCTGCTTCTGCCCATTCAGTCTCTCCCACTTCACTGTGTTCCCTCAGTTTCACCATTTTTGTGTGTATCAAGTTTCAAATTTGAAGGAGATCGTCATGCGTATTTATATGGAATTCATAAGTTGGAAATGTTTAGCATGAGTGAGATTTTTGAGAGTGTAATAATTAATGATTTGTGTTATATTATTTGTCCTTAAATCTGATTCGGCATTTTTAGATTGGTAATTGGATTCAGAAGCTGACACAAGTTTCATTTTCATTCATGAGGAGAGTTCGAAGATGTTAATTAATTAGTAGTATGACTCAGTAAACTAAACTTCCAAAACAAAAACGCGTGCTCAGAAACCACCATAATTAATAATGGAGTTACTTAGTAGTTGATTAAGTTTAAAAAGAAATTAGAGAGATCTTTCACATAGTGCTCGTAGATTATATATTTTTCATAATTTAATAACTAGTTTCTCTTATATTTGAATGAAATTTTAAAAATGAGCAGTATAATACATTATCCAAATTCGTTTGTGTGAAAAAATTATTGAAGTTTAGGCTCTTTTTTTTCCCAGTTCAGACTTAATTTTTTCTGTGGGATGAAGATACTGTTCCATGGCTAGTAAAGCTCTTGCAATTTTTTTACCACCAAACCATTGGAAAGATGGGATTAGATAAAAGCTAATCCAAGTCTCAAGGTCATATATTAATTCATTAATTCATAACAGAATTAGGAGCATTATTCACTAAAAAATTTGGCTCTTATGTTTTAAGTTGAAGCAACATATTCCATATGTATCCCAAAATAAAAATTCCTTTATTTCTTTTTATAGGGTTAAGGTGTAATTTTAGTAACAAAATTTATCCAAATGGGTATTAGGCACCATAAAGTTTATATTTGTGCAAAAATATACATGACATTGTTAAAAGCAGGCATCTAATACCACTTTGTTAATGTCCATTAGTTTAACATTAGTGAGGCCTACAAAAGTCAATTTTAATGCGCTATTTTAACAACAAATTTGCATTAAATGACACTATACACATAAGGTTTATTATGTGCAAAAAATATACATGAACTTTTTAAGAAGAAAAAAAAATCATCAAATTCTATAAATGTTAATTAACTTTATTCTTTTAGGTCCACAAAATATCACATTTTTTCTTCACTCATTCCCACTTCCTCCTCTCTTAGTATATGGATTAGTTTAAAAAATTAAAAAAAAGGATAAAAACTTAATTATAACATATATTATATAATCTCTAAAATATTTATACATAATTAGATTTATATTAATTATAAGCTAAGTAAATTAATTTGGAGAAAAACAATAGATATAATATTTTAAAGTAATTTATATAATTTCTTTAATCTCCTCAAATTAGCCAACTGCGTTTATATTAAATACTACAGGTGGTAGTGAGTGGAAGCAATGAGTCTTGTATCTTAGAAGGAAAAGATGTTGTCTTGGATAAATACATATAAAAGACTTCGGGTTGAGAAAAATAACATGACATAGAGTGTGTGTTGACTATGATAAGATAAAGATAGATAGACTTGAAAGTAGGAATGGATGGAAAGAAAATGTAGCATTTGGAGGGATCTAAAAGAATAAAATTAATGGTTGTCTATGGAAATTGATGAGTTTTATTATTTTCCCCCCTTTTAGAAAGTTGATGTATATTTTTGCACCTAAGTAAACTTTATAGTGCCTAGTACCCCTTGATCTAAACTTTATTGTTAAAAATATACCTTAATATGACTTTGTGACTTACTAGTGGATGTTAATGGTATGGTACTAGATGCCCATTTTGACAACTCATGTATATTTACACCCAAATAAACTTATAGTACCAAATACTTCTTAAAGTAAACTTTGTTTTTAAAATTGCGCTTTAATTTTTTTTTTATAAGAAAAATTCCTTTATTTCATTCTTAGGGGAAAAGATTGACATCTCGAAGGCTCTTTGAAATGAAATATTTCTTAACTAACTCAGTCCTTTAACTATGATTTATTGTCACTTAGTCCCTAGACTTTTGATTCATATATGACTCAATCTCTTATCTTTTTACTTTTTATATTATTATTCTTGTCATCTAATCTCGTGGCAAAAATTGCTTCAGACTAATCTCCATAGGTGGATCTTTTTTAAATACAATCATCTCTAAGATCAATCATCAATGTTCAACGATGGTAAATATCTCTTGCATTTGATGTTCATGAAATGAAAATAATTATCATTATCACTGGAAATATGATAGACTCCAACAATTAAATACTTGTACACTATTGTGGCCTGTTGCAGTTTTCTTGTACACTATTGTGGCCTGTTGCAGTTTTCCTCTGGTAAGCGCTAATAAGTACAAAGGATAATATTTAGGTTAATTTTATTTATTTATTTTGTCAAGTTTTCTGATCACATGTAACTATGTCTCTTATTATTATAAATTTATATAAAAAAGTAGAACATATGATCACATATAATTAGAAAATTTGACGAAATGGATATAAAGAATTAGGTGTAAGTATATTCCAATTACAAAATCAAACTGTACATTTTTATATATGCATTTCCCCTCAATATATAGATCCTGTTAGTGGGAAATTCTGTTATTTTCCCCCATGATAGGAAAAGCAAGATGAGCAATATCTATTATGTTTTTATGATCATTTTTATATAGTAGTAATTTTAATAATATATTTCATTCAGTTCTGCTGCTAATGATTGGAACCTCTGTTGTAATGCAATATAATGGACACTTTTTATATAATAATTTAAAATTGAAATTAAAATATCTTCATAATTGTATTTTTCTTTTTAGCCTTCGGCAAGCGAGAATCGGGTGTCAATATCAACTTCTTGTAGAAATCACTCTTTCTTGATCACTTGTGGGGTTGAATGATTGTACCATTCTGCTTGTACAATGCGCTGTACTTATCTATCTTCGTTAATATCAAACTAAGTGGGAGGCCATAAATTTATATTATATTGTCTCATCAACTCAACTCTCAAGAACAAGTCAATAATAAGTCATAACTCATAAATTTTTATAATTTATGAATAATATAATTATTTAAAGTTTTCATATTATATATATAATTTATCAAAAGGAAAGCATTACAAGTGTTGGCAACTGTTTGCTTCAATGGCTTCTTACCTCAATGCTGCATGCTATTATCATGATATATAGTTGAAAGAATTTTATTATTTTCAGATGATATTGTTTGCTATTGGTGATATATGATTTTTTAATATAAAAAAGAATTTTTTTTAATAACTAAGAGTATCCTCAAGTCATTTAGATTTGAAACTAATTTCTGTCGAGTTGGGAGTATAAGGTTAAAGTCCTTTCAGCAATTTCGTTTTTTGAGATTCGAATTTGTGTTCTCTTCTTTACAGGTCAGATTGCTTACTATATCAACCAACAGCTTGTTGATAAAATTTTTTTTACACATTATAGATATATAGTAATTGGAATCTGGAAGGAAATCAGAGGTAATCTATTAGAAAAGTTTTTTGTAATTAATCTTTGCACAAAATCCATAAAAGATAAAGGGTGGGGTGCATTCAATACTTTCAGATATTTTTTCAGGTGCATCCAGCATCTTGAGTAAATTTTGTGGTACATCTAACAGCTTGAAGTATTTTTCAGATGCATCCAACACCTTAAAGTTTTTTTTTCCTTGCCTAGGTGCTAGATGCACCAAAATATACTTTTAGGTGCTAAACGCATTTGAAAAAAATATTTCAGAGTGCTGAATACATAAAAAAAATTCCAATGTGCTGGATACACTTAAAAAAAAATTTCAAGGTACTAAATGCACCGCAAAGTACTTTAAGGTGTTGATGCATCCAAAAAAATATTTCGATGTGCTAAATGCAACTTACCCTAAAAATAAAAGCCTCTAGTTAACAATACATTAACATCAATTTCTTTGCCGAAAATCCTTTTCATTATTCCTTTGTTTGTAGTGGTCATGATTAGTTCCTATTTTAAAATGGTATTTTATATTCTATGTATTTATATTTTATATATAATACTACCTCCGGTTCTTAATATAAAGTTCGTTTGATTTTTATTTTGGTTCTAAATATAAGACCTCAATTCATTTTGTCTCACATTTATTTCATTTTTTCTAAGATAGTCCTTATAATAATGAAAGTTCTAGTAAATATATTTGATTAGTAAGAATATTTTAGGAAAGACAACACTTATTTATTACAAATAAGTAACTTAACTAATTTATTAAGGATCAGAAATAGTATATAATAATGTGTTATTCATTAAATTATGAACAATACACTCATATTAGATTCCATGCAAAAGCATATACTTAAACCCTATTCTTTTTTTTTAATGTAGTTTTTAAAAGTATAATTTTGTTGCAATTTTATTTTTGAAAATGATCAGATTGTTTCTGAAAATTCTTTCTTTCTTTCTCTATTTGTCCTTTTTTTTAAGAACAATGTCTCGAGATTGAAGCAAAATTATATTGAACTCACAATGATGCTAGCTTGTTTACAGTATCCTATAAAGTTCAGAAAAGGGTATCTAACAATTTCTTGTGTGATATCCAGAGAAAAACACTAGAAGAGACGATGACAACCCAAGAATCTGCAACATTCCAAGTTTTGGCTTTATCACTGTTCTTTTAACCTCTAAAACTCGTTTCTTTTAACCTGATAAATTGATATTTTCGTTAAAGCAAAGTTAACTAGAGTTTCAAAATAAAAGAGCTAACAATAGCCCAAAGCTAAAAACCCTAAACCTAAATTGAGGGAACAACTATCGTCGAGTTCGCTGAAAATATGCCCACAGTCTTCTCGACAGAATTCTACAGAGAGGAAAATGTTATCATCGATACCAACACCATCAATCCATCATAAAGGGGTGGGGGTATGAATGAACCCCCCTAAAGGACCCACCCCTCTTGTAGGCAAAATAACAACCAAGAAACGTTGTTGAAACACCATGATAGGGCTCGTGGGAGATGAAGCACCCACAAACACCAAACAATGAGATGAATTCATAAAAAAGAGAAATAGGATAGCTCACTGTCAACAACACGTCAAGCAACATCGCTTGAAAATACATATTTCCTTCTTTCATCCCTTAGATTTGCCACCATTGAACTAAACCACCAGTTGTCCTCTGAGAGATAGATCGAAAGACAGCAGAGACAACCATCAACATAACCCTTGCGCCAGAAATAGAAAAACAAAGGCATTGGGTCAGGATCTGATTGATCAAAAGTCAAGCTACCAACCAACCAAAAAAAAAGCCACCATTAGTAAGTCTCTTAGATCTGTTTATTGTTGGAAAAACAAACCACACCTTTTGTGCTTTTTGCATTAAACAAATTTGTGAGATTTGATTTGACACTGCTTGCTTTGATGGTGATAGATCAGATCCTGACCTAGTGGCTTGGATGTATGATTTTTCAAGAAGGGTTTTAATGACGCCTATCTCTAGTTCCATATGTTATCTCTCTCAAAGGATGGTTATTGTTTTGCTCAATGGTGGCAAATCCAATGCACGTCAATGTTAGATGTATGTATAATCAAGCGGAGTTTCTCAGTGGGTGCTTGACGGTGAGTTCTCTTTCTATTTTGGTGCCGTTTATTTGGCTAGTGGTTGTGGTGTTTCGTTCTATGGGTTCTCCCATAATTTTTGACAACCATTCTTGATTGCTCTCCACCCTTTACATTGGCATCAGTGCTGGCAACGACAATTTTCTCCTTGCAATTTTGACAAAGCAATAGTGGGTCTTTTTTTTTTTTGAGTGAAAAGGAATTTATTGAAAAACAGTAAACTTACAGAGTACAAACGAGGAAGAAAGAAATAGAGACAGCTAAGAGGTTACATAACAAGCTGTTTACACAACTCAGCAGATCTTATAGTTTGATCGGTCAAAGAAAAAACTTCATTAACTAGTCTTGGAGGCTGAGTCTCTTCTTGATTGAACAATAGTGGGTGTTTTAAGTTGTCTTGAAGGTGATTGCTCCCTTAGCTTTGTTGTTAGGGGGAGGTTTATGTTTTTGGACTGTTACTTTGTTGGCCTTTTTTTGTTGGACCTCATATTGGGCTTCGTATGTTCTGGTTTTTGTATTAATGAAAATATCATTTTATCTAATGGAAAAGAAAAATCCCCTCCACCTAATTGAAGATAAAATCCAGATAATCCTTCAAGGTTGTTCCAACAAGCCCAATCACTGTAACTTAAGCTTGCACTAGGCTTTCCAAATCCCAAAAGCCTGAATTCCGTAGGCTTCTCAAACTTGAGGCCCATATAACTTTTCTTAGGCTAGACAGGCATCTCACCCACGATTGGTCTAGATGAGACAGTTAAGCATCCTCCTCAGCTAGGTTATTCTGAATAAGCAATTTTAGCGCAGGAGTAGAAAACTGAACTGTGCGTGGATAAATTAAACAAACTTGAATTAAGAAATAGGAGGAAGACAAAACTGGACAGTATATGGATTTGGAAGAATCAGCAACCCTGAAGATTATTAAGGTACAAGCTATAATAAAAAATAAATAATTTGCTCCATTGTTTAGAATCTAGAGTTAAAGAAGCTGATTTGAGTTGGGTTTCTCACTACTAGGTATTCAGACCAGTAATTTTTGAATAAACAATCCACACTAACGTTCTTTCACTACCAAAAAAACGTATTCTACAGCCATATACAGTAAAACAGCAAACAAATAACTTCTCAGGCATACTGACAAAAAACCCAAAAGAAAAAAAAAAGAGGAAAAAACCTTCTCAGGCATGGTAAAAAAATTGTGCCTCGTATAAATTCAAGAAGATATAAGGGGAGTCCGAAGAGTGCTGGTGTCTGAAGGTGACTGAATTGGCTGCAAAGCAGGGTCCCTATAAGCAATGATTAATTTGTCATAAAACTCATCCATTGTAGCATCATTTGGGTCTTCTCTGTCTTTCTTGATCAGAGTCTGGAAACACAAACCCAAGTCAAGATCACAGTTGAATAATTAATTGAATGCAACATGCAGCTACTCTCATGTACTTATAGAGATTTCGCGTTGTGGGTTGAAAACATACCTCTGCAGAGTATGCAACAAACATGGGAAGAAACCGTTTTCGGCAGTACTCATTAAAGAGAAGAGTAATGATAGGCAAAGGAATCATCAAGGAGGATGCTGTAGAGAGTTTTTTCAGCGCAAAAATTCCCACTGCAATGATGTGCATGAGTACAAGAGAAAAGATCATGGAATTGTGCACAATAGGCCAGAATTTCCCTGCTGTTTCATACTTGGGTGCATATACATTTATGAACTGCAATATACATGGGCAGAGAACGTCAGTATAATCCACATCAAAACCTATTTCCCCCCGTCTCAATCTCATGATCAAAATGACTAACACTGACAGAGACTCCATAATCAATTAAAAATTGGTTATTTGCTCTGCCAGGAATACGGTACTTCATTACAAACGATAGATGAGGCCTAGGGTTTTTATTACATGTTCAGCTATGCTAATAACCACCACAAATATTTTCCTGGAAAAACAATGCTGTCAATACATTCAAACCATCTTAGACATCTCCCAAACATAGTATTTCAAGTTTAATATAGTTAATTAAACCAATAATAATATGCATAAAAGTAATTATTCAAATTTCCTAGCAGAAGTGACAAGTAGGTATTTCCATTTCTTTCGGGAATGAGTCAGAGGGATCTCAAGTATGACTAATTATATCAGCTTAGAGAAATAAATATCTCAACTTTTAGAAATAGAAAGAATTCAAAACCAACATATTAAGAAATGCTAACCTGGTTCCTAAATACTATGTATGCAAAACCAACATATTCCAATTACAAAATCAAACTGTACATTTTTATATATGCATTTCCCCTCAATATATAGATCCTGTTAGTGGGAAATTCTGTTATTTTCCCCCATGATAGGAAAAGCAAGATGAGCAATATCTATTATGTTTTTATGATCATTTTATATAGTAGTAATTTTAATAATATATTTCATTCAGTTCTGCTGCTAATGATTGGAACCTCTGTTGTAATGCAATGTAATGGCCACTTTTTTATATAATAATTTAAAATTGAAATTAAAATATCTTCATAATTGTATTTTTCCTTTTAGCTTTCGGCAAGCGAGAATCGGGTGTCAATATCAACTTCTTGTAGAAATCACTCTTTCTTGATCACTTGTGGGGCTGAATGTTTGCACCATTCTGCTTGTACAATGCGCTGTACTTATCTATCTTCGTTAATATCAAACTAAGTGGGAGGCCGTAAATTTATATTATATATTGTCTCATCAACTCTCAAGAACAAGTCAATAATAAGTCATAACTCATAAATTTTTATAATTTATGAATAATATAATTATTTAAAGTTTCCATATTATATATAATTTATAAAAAGGAAAGCATTATATATAGTTGAAGAATTTTATTATTTTCAGATGATATTGTTTGCTATTGGTGATATGTGATTTTTTTTATATAAAAAAAGAATTTTTTTTAATAACTAAGAGTATCCTCAAGTCATTTAGATTTGAAACTAATTTCTGTCGAGCTAGGAGTATTAAGGTTAAAGTCCTTTCAACAAGTTTGCTTTTTGAGATTTAAACTTGTGTTCTCTTCTTTACGGGTCAGATCGCTTACTATATCAACCAACAGCTTCTTAATAAATTTTTTTTTACACATTATAGATATATAGTAATTGGAATCTGGAAGGAAAATCAGAGGTCATCTATTAGAAAAGTTTTTTTAATTAATCTTTTGCACAAAAATCCATAAAAGATAAAGGGTGGAGGTGCATTCAATATTCTCAGATATTTTTTCAGGTGCATCCAACATCTTGAGTAATTTTGTGATGTATCTAGCATTTTGAAATATTTTGTGGTACATCTAACAGCTTGAAGTATTTTTCATATGCGTCCAGCACCTTGAAGTTTTTTTTTTCCTTGCCTAGGTGCTAGATGCATAAAAATATACTTTTAGGTGCTAAACGCATTTGAAAAAAATATTTTAGAGTACTGGATACATAAAAAAAAAATTCCAATGTGCTAGACACACTTAAAAAATATATTTCAAGGTGCTAAATGCACCACAAAGTACTTTAAGGTGTTGATGCATCCAAAAAAATATTTCGAGGTGCTAAATGCAGCTTACCCTAGAGATAAAAGCCTCTAGTTAACAATACATTAACATCAATTTCTTTGCCGAAAATTCTTTTCATTATTCCTTTGTTTGTAGTGGTCATGATTAGTTCCTATTTTAAAATGGTATTTTATATTCTATGTATTTATATTTTATATATAATACTACTCCGGTTCGTTTGATTTTTATTTTGGTTCTAAATATAAAACCTCAATTCATTTTGTCTCACATTTATTCATTTTTTTCTAAGATAGCTCTTATAATAATGATAGTTCTAGTCAATATATTTGATTAGTAAAACTATTTTAGGAAAGACAACACTTATTTATTACAAATAAATAACTTAACTAATTTTTTTAATTTACTCAAATTAGTCAACTAGCTCTTATATTAAGGATCAGAAATAGTATATAATAATATGTGTTATTCATTAAATTATGAACAATACACTCATATTAGATTCCATGCAAAAGCATATACTTAAACGCTATTCTTTTTTTTTTAATGTAGTTTTTAAAAGTATAATTTTGTTGTAATTTTATTTTTGAAAATGTTCAGATTGTTCCTGAAAATTCTCTCTTTCTTTCTCTATTTGTCCTTTTTTTAAGAACAATGTCTCGAGATTGAAGCAAAATTATATTGAACTCACAATTATGCTAGCTGGTTTACAGCATCCTATAAAGTTCAGAAAAGGGTATCATTTCATCTAATGGAAAAGAAAAAACCCCTCCACCTAATTGAAGATAAAATCCAGATAGTCCTTCAAGGTTGTTCCAACAAGCCCAATCACTGTGACTTAAGCTTACACTAGGCTTTCTAATGGAAAAGAAAGGTCTAGGCTTTATCTGGCCCAAGAGCCTGAGTTCCGCAGGCTTCTCAAACTTGAGGCCCATATAACTTTTCTTAGGCTAGACAGGCTTCTCACCCACAATTGGTCTAGATGAGGCAGTTAAGCATCCTCTTCAGCTAGGTTATTCTGAATAAGCAATTTTAGCGCAGGAGTAGAAAACTGAACTGTGCGTGGATAAATTAAACAAACTTGAATTTGGAAGAATCAGCAACCCTGAAGATTATTAAGGTACAAGCTATACATCAAAAATAAATAATTTGCTCCATTGTTTAGAATCTAGAGTTAAAGAAGCTGATTTGAGTTGGGTTTCTCACTACTAGGTATTCAGACCAGTAATTTTTGAATAAACAATCCACACTAACGTTCTTTCACTACCAAAAAAACGTATTCTACAGCCATATACAGTAAAACAGCAAACAAATAACTTCTCAGGCATACTGACAAAAAACCCAAAAGAAAAAAAAAAGGAAGAAACCTTCTCAGGCATGGTAAAAAAATTGTGCCTCATATAAATTCAAGAAGATATAAGGGGAGTCCGAAGAGTGCTGGTGTCTGAAGGTGACTGAATTGGCTGCAAAGCAGGGTCCCTATAAGCAATGATTAATTTGTCATAAAACTCATCCATTGTAGCATCATTTGGGTCTTCTCTGTCTTTCTTGATCAGAGTCTGGAAACACAAACCCAAGTCAAGATCACAGTTGAATAATTAATTGAATGCACATGCAGCTACTCTCATGTACTTATAGAGATTTCGCGTTGTGGGTTGAAAACATACCTCTGCAGAGTATGCAACAAACATGGGAAGAAACCGTTTTCGGCAGTACTCATTAAAGAGAAGAGTAATGATAGGCAAAGGAATCATCAAGGAGGATGCTGTAGAGAGTTTTTTCAGCGCAAAAATTCCCACTGCAATGATGTGCATGAGTACAAGAGAAAAGATCATGGAATTGTGCACAATAGGCCAGAATTTCCCTGCTGTTTCATACTTGGGTGCATATACATTTATGAACTGCAATATACATGGGCACAGAACATCAGTATAATCCACATCAAAACCTATTTCCCCCCATCTCAATCTCATGATCAAAATGACTAACACTGACAGAGACTCCATAATCAATTAAAAATTGGTTATTTGCTCTGCCAGGAATACGGTACTTCATTACAAACGATAGATGAGGCTTAGGGTTTTTATTACATGTTCAGCTATGCTAATAACCACCACAAATATTTTCCTGGAAAAACAATGCTGTCAATACATTCAAACCATCTTGGACATCTCCCAAACATAGTATTTCAAGTTTAATATAGTTACTTAAACCAATAATAATATGTATAAAAGTAACTATTCAAATTTCCTAGCAGAAGTGACAAGTAGGTATTTCCATTTCTTTCGGGAATGAGTCAGAGGGATCTCAAGTATGACTAATTATATCAGCTTAGAGAAATAAATATCCCAACTTTTAGAAATAGAAAGAATTCAAAACCAACATATTAAGAAATGCTAACCTGGTTCCTAAATACTATGTATGCAAGACAGAGGTAGATCAAGAGGAATGGTAGAATTAGTGGGGCTAAGAAGAAATATGTAATTCCAAGAAGTCCAAACATAAGTACTCTTGGAATATCTTTGTGGTAAGGAAAGGATGGAACTTCAAATTCGTCATCTTCCGATGCGAAAGGCCTTTTAATCAAACTCCAAATTAAAGGAAACATCCGGAAAAGTTCTGATGATGTGCTTGTCCATCCTGATGTCACGACATAAGCAATGAAAAATGATGCCTGCGGTCAAAATTGATGGCATTAGAAGGAAGACATAGAAATATCAAACGTATTGTAAATTACATTATAGTCTTGCACATACAATGGTTATATGAATTACCAAACTGATAAATAGTCTGTAAGCAACGAGAACAGAGTTAAAACTATTTTTAACTATCAGAGAAACTGATACAAGGGACTGCTGAAATAAACCTTCAGCAGGATTCTTGCTGTACTGAGGTTTTAACTGGCAATTTCAGAATTCAGAATTTTAATAAAATTGCGGTGCTGTCATTTTCATTTTAGGTGCTTACGAAATCACTGAATATTTTAAACATTCTCAAAACGTTTTTACATGAAAGAGTAGGTTAATTCATTCGGAAGACTATATAATTATAACTTATACTTGGGTAAAAGGACGGGTTACAATAGATCAGGTTTTAAGAAGCAAGGTAGCCTAATCCACTAGAGTAAAAGGTAAGGATAGTAGGATTGTCAACCATAACAATCAATGTTTGAAAGTTCTTGACCACCAATGTTGTAATGGGCTCTTAACAAATAACAATCCCTTCAAATGGTCAAACACCTAAAAATATGCGAGAATCAGATGACATATTCGCACAAAAATATATTAACTTTCAAAGTACTTGAAAGTAATTTGAACAGACGTTTAAGGAAAATTTACCGTAAGAACTTTCAAAGTACTTGAAATTAATTTGAACAGACGTTTAAGGAAAATTTACCGTAAGAAAAGCTTTGGCTAACCTGTGCTGGAACTGCTACCGCTAGTTTTTGAGGAATGGCCTTGGGGTCAAGGAAAATGGACATTTGATATAGAACTGATCCAGAAAACACAGTCGCAAAAAACACATTCCATACTGTGAACCACAGGACTTTATTACATGCACTCTTTTCTATATTACTGTGTGAGATGTACCCTTGAATGGAGGAAAGAAACTCCATGACAGGAGGCACCGTTTGCAGAAACAATAGAAGAATGAGACTGGGAAGGTATCCTGTAATTACTTGACTGATAAATGTTCTGCAAGCAGATTCATAGGTTTTTTGGGTCAACTGAATGAACAGAAACGTAAAAGGTAATATTAGCAGATTGTAGGTCCCATATTTGATAAACCGCAAGTCAACATGGTCAGAAAGAATTTAAGAAGACAGAAAATGCACACGCATTGCTTTTAAGACAAGACAGAAATGAAATAATAGGAGGAGGATTCTAGTGGCATGAAAATTCAACATCAAATACAGCTGGTAAAGAGGTCTCCAACAATTTCTTGACGAATATTCAAGAAATTAAATCCCTTATCCATTATGAGAACCCATGCTTACACGTGCTCAAACTATCATGGGAGGTAGATTGCAGGCAACAAGATCAAAAACCTCATAACCATGGATATTCATGAAACATTTGTTTCTTTCAAATTGGAAATGGCAATTTGATACATTAATTTTCCTTTTGCATGAAGTTCCACTTTGATCTCTTGGTTAAGGCCCTTCAAGATCTAATCTACAATGAATTACCCAGGACAACATGACAGCATAAAATCCATGATCTCCAACTTTCAGTTGATGACTAAAAGCGTATACTGAAGGAACAGTCAAGTATCTCTTTGATCGTGCTTTATATAATGCTGAGAATAATTCCTTTAAGCAATAAATCTAACGTGAGATCATGCTTAAAGGGGAAACACAAGAAGGTAAAATACACGAGAGAGTGGTTATAGAAAAATTGTTCATACGACTTACATGGTGAGAATACTTTTCAAGAAGGGAAACAAAACTTCCAGCTGGCTCAGGTTGGTAAGGCCTTGCACAATTAAGACAGGTATAAGGAACAATATTGTGAAAACGATGAAGACAACTATAACTACCAACTTGGAAATCCATCTTCGCATAAATGATTCAGAGAAAAAGGGCCAGTAGACATCATGGGGTTCTGGAGCTTGCTCTGTATTCCATTCAATGGGATTGACTGCTGGATGCAGACGGACAGCAGCTGCAGCAGCATAACGGGACTTGAAGGCCACAAAGGCAGCTCGAGTCTCCTTTAACGTTAAAGAAAAAAGTAGTTAAAAGGTATGCACTTTGTGGTTCAGCCAACACATATAAGAGAAAAACAACTCACTTAAAACAAGACTAAAGATAATTGATAAATATTTTTTGCTCTTGTTTTGACTATCATAAAGATTACCACATACTTCTCCTGCCAATGAAGCCTCTGATTGCTTCAGTCTTACATTCTCTTCAATGTCCTCCAACCTCTTCTCATAGTGATCCCTAAGATTAATTTTGCGTTTAAAAAGTCCAAAGAAACCACCTTGCCTGTGCTGTTGCTGAGAGGGATCTGATTGTAGTTGACCAAGTCTTTTACCTAAGTTTTTTGCTTCATTCTAGATAAAAAGAGGCAAATGAATTTTACAATAGGAAAATTTGAAATAGCACATTCAGCATCAAAGAACCTGTTATTATCGACAATGTAGCACTTACCTTTATGCGTAATGGCATAAATAGTTTGGTCATTAGCCAAGCTATTCAATCAACAATAGAATAATGCTAAACATGGGTAGCAAAATATCTGAGGTAATGTCTTTTCCAGAAAAAAGATATTTTCTTATGGACGATCTCATAGAAAACTTAATCACAATACTATGATGCTCAGATGTGATAATGTGACAGAAAGAAAAATACCAGGAGAACTTAGTAACCAGTAGTTATTAAATGGTTTAATAAGATGTCATCACCACCCACTCTCCAGTCTTTAAATAATAATATATTACAAAATGATTAATGATCCACATAAAACCAAAGTAAACCATTAAAAAACGGATGGTATAATATATCACATTTAACTATGGAAATTAAGGGCACAAACATTCAGAATAATGCACAAGGTTCTGAGACCTTAAGTTTAGACATGACGTGTGTTAAGAAGTACGGATGTGGACATTATGTCATGACAGAATTTGAAGTATTCAGGAATTTTTTTTTTTTTTCATGTGTTTTGCCTTGCTTGATATGATTATCTCTCACATAATGCACATGGACATCAAGGCACAACTCCCATTTTCAAGTATTTGCCCTTCAAAACTATGTTGTTACCCAAATGAAGAATATAATTCAGGTTTCCAGGAAGGTGTAAAGACAAAATTAATGGAAAAAAAAAGGAAGTTAAATCAGAGGCAGTGCTCACCAGGAGACTTTGAATTTTGCTTGTGCGACGAACAACCACATGCGATAAATATGTAGCAGGGTAAAGCTCTTTGAAGAAGCTCTCGACACTCTCACTGACACTACAACTGGATGAAGTAGGAATACTGCGAACTAAGATGGTGAATTGGTGTGGTTGAGGTGGGGATGAGTAAAAATAAGAAATCCTTCTTGCAGATATGTATTTATATTCCTGTAGAATAAAATAACATGGAGTGATGGCGGATAAGTATCTGGCTCAAGTGTTGGCTTTGGTATTCATTGTTGATTATTATGACACTTATTTCATACTTCAATTAATAAAGGGACACAGGAGAAGGGGGGGTCCTCGTACTTTCAAATTATGTAAAATCAAGAAACAATCGTTATCCTGATAATTGATGGAATGTACATCCAAAAGATATTTCGATATTACTACTCATCAGGTAACACCATAATTTATACCTGACGTAAAGGGAACTAGCTATCATGGTTGATGTTATAGTTGCACAAGTTATGAGTGCACGAACTTACTTTATAAAGCATGAAGCATATGAATACAGTAACAAAGTACACCGCCGAGAAGTGGATCCACAGCCTGACATAAGGATAACGGAGGATAAATATCTAATACAGACGCTAGTCCCCTAAGACGCAAGTAACCCAAGCACTGCTTCAGTAAAACCAAAAAACCAAAATAAATCTTGAGGTAGTATTCACCAGTTAGAGCCATTTTTCACATTTGATATGGTGAAAATGTCCAAGGAGCTACTCGTCACATTGGTAAAATCAAATCCTACTAGTGCATCTCCTGAGACATTTACTGGAAGAAGCACAAGGATCCCGATAAACCCAGCAAAAGAAAATATTTTCAAACTGCACTCAAGAAAACAAGTAACTCAGTCTAAATAAGGACATCTTTTTAATGGTCTGTGAAGTAAAAAGCTGCAAGTTATGGAGTCCAACACAGTCTAAATAACTAATTTCTGTTGTAACATTACCTTTAGTTAAGCTTTAAATTTATATGACAATAACTACTCTACCCGCAACAACAAGGATCTAACAGGAAAAGGGAAAGAATTAAGAGCTACCCCAAATGTTTGCACACACCGGCTCCACCTTTGATTTAGCTACTCATCAATATTGATATGCTCAGAAAAAACACCACATGAAGAGAATGAAATACCTGAAGGTTATAAGACGCATATATACCACCCCGTCTAATCCTGATGACGACAATATCTCATCTTCAGAAAGCCTCCAGGCTTTTGCAACCCACCCAGTTGAAGGTACCAGTCTTTCTAAGTTGAAATGACTTCTCCGCCTAGAGGTTCCTTCGGCTAGCAAGCGTGGCATATAAACTTCATAATTACAGGGTTGTTTTTTCAGTACAGAGTACAATGTGAAGAATAACACGCACAGAGCTGTGTTTATCCCAAGAGAAGTGAGAAGAGCAGAGACAATCATATCTTCAAGGAACTAAATGGACCAATGAAATTATGAGCTAGATACCCGCTGCAAGAACCATAAGAGGAACAGAAGTTAAAGATCATAGAAGTTTCATCTCATTCTGTATCCAATTTGCAGAAAGACCAGAAACATGAACAACTTCAGAAACATACAAGGGTGACCCAAATACTACTACAAAAACAGGATGATTCCCCGAATACAACTGTAAAAGCCATGACCATCAACTTCAAAAATGAACATAAAGGCGTCCTGCGGATTTTTGCAAAACAATGAACATACACAACTTCAGAACTAAGCATGGTCACCATAGTCCCCAAAGAAAATTATAAAACCATAACCGAGGTTCACTCTCTATTTAAATATTAAGTGGTGAATTGAAGCCACACCCATTTCTGCTCGACACACAATTTATCACCCCATTGGGCGAAAGATCATAGCGACTTTGACCAAGCCTTGAAATAAGAAATACCTTAGTTAATTAAGAAAAGTAGAAGCAGGTAGTTTTTCGGATTTCTCATCCCTCTGCCGATGAGCATAAGTTTCAAATGAGTAAGTCTCAAAGCCGAAGCAAAACAGCAAAAATCACTGGGAGAAAGAAACCAGATATCAATCATCCAATAACTATAAACGTCCAAATTTTTCCGAATAGCAGTGCAGCAAGAAAGAGGCAGAAGGAGCTCAGAGAAAAGGATATGAGAATTATAAAGAGAGAATTCAGTACCAGGTAGAATCTGGACAAGGAGAAACTCACTTGTGATTACAGAGAGCTCCAAATGTTCAATGTGTGAACAGAGCAAGCGGTAAGCCGTGTGCTGAAGGTAGGTACCTGAATGATTAGTCGAATGACCACAATACCCTTATTTCTACATTTGTCCTGCTTGAGAGGGTTCGGGATATTCGTCCTTTCCGCGTAAACTAACATTTACTGAAGATTTCAGTTTAGCGCGCTGTCCTGGCCCCCAAAAAAAAAAAAAAAAAAAAAATAATTTATGTTTAATACTCTTCCTGTTCTTAATCTAAAAACTAATTTTAGAGTTAATATTGATTTTATATGTAACATTTATTTAATATATTTATCAATTTTTTTAAATTAACTTTATTGATATTTTTTGCAACAATAATTAAGTATAATGAGAGAGAGGAAGAGAATTAAAGAGGAAAATTATGGTATTTTATAAAAAATATCATATTAAATAATTAAATTAATATATCTAATTTTTTTAAATTAATTAATTATATTTTATATTAAGAACTTAAGTAGTAATAATTTTATACACCGTCCGATCATTCAAAAGTTAGTAATGTAAAGTAGTTGAATGGATATCATTGCTGGTAAAAAAAAAAAAAAAACAAAGAATGGATATCATTATCAATACAATCATCATGATTAAAATAAGGTATAAAAAATTATGATTGTTAAAATAACATATTTTAAGTAAGCTGTATAAAAATATTTATTATAATTCTGCAAAAGATAATATAGGGAGAATGATAAAAAAAATCTTGAAAATTGTAAAATTCTCGATAAGATATTTTCATAAAAATGTGTTGTTATTTGTAATTTAATTGTTGTTAAAAAAGTGTTATCAGAAAACTGATTTAAAATTTTACAATTTTCAGGATATTTTTTCGGTAATTGGGAAAAAGGCAAAAAACAATTTAAAGGGGAGAACCGGAGAACGGTTGATGAGGTCAAAGGCTCGTCCAATGGTTTGCAACTGCTAGTCAATCACTCACGAAGTCATGATGGCGTAGCGGAACACACTGACGGTGACACGTTATTGGATTCGGCATTTGAGCAATTTTTAATCATTCTAAAATACAAAAACCAAAGTTGGCGTTCGTTTCCTGCAGACATGTAGATCTAGTGATCCCCACATATATATTTTAATCCAATTAAACACAACTCATTTAGGCAAAATGACTAGAAAAAACATTGAAAATAGGACATTTAAAAAAGGGTTACTAACATTTTAAAATGATAGGAAAGAAGGTAAAGCCTGAATTGAAATTATGAAAATATGAAGAAATAATCAATATGTTCTTGTATGATGCTTAGAAAAAAATGTTATTCTGTATTCCAAACTTCTTAATTTATGTTTCAGTTTTATTATTTTCATATTAAATTTAGCCATTTTTAGAAATAGATATTTTCACCTGAGAAAATACAATCGTTATTATGTATTACAAACTTGTTAATTTATTTTGCAATCTTATTATTTCCAAGTCAAATCTAGTTATTTTTCCAATCTGACACAAAGGCTATTGATCATTTTTTCTCATTTTCATAATTTCAATTCAGGCTTTCCCTCATTCCCTATCATTTGAAAGTATTAGCTGCCTTTTTTTAAAAAAAATTATGGCAAGGTTGTTTTTTTTTTTTTGGGGTCATTTTCTCCACTCATTTATTGTAGTGGATTTTAAAAAATAAGCCACATTATTTATTGTTGTGAAAATTAGTCTAGAGCTATTACTAAAAAATTTCATGAAATGTGCAAATAACTATGAAGTTTCAAGAGAGCTCAGTGTGATTTACGGAGGAGATGAACAAACCCGCTTGCCCTGCTAAGAAACACACAAATGGTGCTCAAAATTCCAATCTAAAAGTTCCATTCCCCCTATTCAAACTCTTACCCATTTTTTGTCGAAATGTTTTTAAAATAAAGTGACGCACAAGAGAGTCTTTATAAATTACTCCTCCGGTCCTTATTATAAGACCCCATTTGACTTTTTATTTGGTCCTAATTATAAGACCCCAATCCATTTTGTCTCTTATATTTATGCATTTTTTTCTAAGATAATCCTTCTAATAATGATAGTTTTAGCCAATATACTTAATTAGCAAGGATATTTTAGGAATGACAACACTTATTTATTATAAATAACCAACTTAACTTACTTTCTTAATCTCCTCAAATAAGTCAATTGAGTCTTATAATTAGAATTGGAGGAGTACTAAATTTATACAAAGAGTTGCGTAGAGAGTATTTGTTCAAAATCATATCTTGCTAGTCACAACTTGCTCGTGAGAGTGCCAAGAAGCCCAAACTTGGTCGAACCAAGGGTGTCATCAAGACTTGCCTGAATTTTACCAGATCATTCCCTGGATATGTATGTTGCTCTTTTTTTTTTTTTCCTCCCTAAAATATAAATATCCTCCTATTGAAAGCAATCCTATTCGAGATACTATTGGGTACTAAATATGAGTACTTCTCTCACCAGAGATTCGAACATTGATTTATCACGTTATGAGAAACTAATCCCTTTCACTGGACTTAATCTCCGTTGGTTGTATAGTGCTCATAATTGTCATGACCTTACCGCCAAGGTGTACGTTATTTGGGCTTTGCCCAAACTTGCCCACGGAAGATAAGGACTTATGCATGGGTGCGCATGGCCACGACCTTATACCTTGACGCCTACCAATTCCTTCACACAAGCCCCTGCTCACAATTTTCTTTATACGTCTGACCTCTTTTTTTTTTTTTCTCCCTTTTTCTTTGTTTGGCTTACTTTGGAGGTGGATTGGATAGAATGGGAGAAAAAAGAATTAAGAATGGGAGTAACTTAGATTGAATATCTTAGGGCTGTTTAGCAGAAAGAATTAGTTGGAATGAAGTGGAATGGAAAAGAATGGAATGAAATAGAATGGAAAATTTCTGAGTGATAACATGTTTAGTAAGCGCTGAAATGAAAGATAAGTTGATAGAAAATTTCATGTTTGATTGGATGAAAATGGGTTGGAAAATTGTACAATTTTACCATGTTACCCTTAATGATAGTGTATAATATTGTTAAATAAAAAATGCTTTTAAATCTTAAAAAAATAATTTCATTAAAAAATCAGTACTTCAAAAACTGAATAAAAATAAATTGTAATTTAAATACATAATTAAATATAAATATTCAATGTAAAGATAAAAATCACCATAGATATTAAGCTGGTTAACATGATTTCGGATTCATAATTCAAAAATTACCCTCCCCATTCATGGTTGGGACAATATTGAAAGCTGAGAATTTATTAAACCAAACTTTTAAGAATACGTTGCCAGCATCCCAATTCATTTATTTCATTTATTAACATATAGCATGTTTTCAATATTAAAAAGACAACAAAAATTGAAGAACCACAATTCTATCTCCAGTATACTGTATTTGCCCTTATTTTTCAAGCGTTAAATAGAGCATAAACAAATCCATATAAACAAAATTAATTTAAAAGTTAATTTTTAGTTGACATGTCTTTCTTCATTTAAACACAAATTACGCCAATTACATATTACTGTAAAGCCCTTTTTTTTTTTTGCCAAACACTGAGCCTAATTTCTAATGCAATATTATTCATTCAAAAAATCTTTCTATTTTTAAAGTTATGTTTGGTAAATTTTGAACTTTAATATAACAAAAAAAATGAGCAAGCAAATTTTGAATTTGTTGCAAAGAATTCAAATTTTCTTGCATCATATTTGAATTTGTTACAAAAAGTCAAATTTTCTGGCAACACATTTGAATTTGTTCGAACAAATTTACAATTTATGCAGTAAAGAATTTAATCATTGGGTGAGCAAATTCACATTTTACGCAGTAAGTTTGAATATCATCCCATCAAATTCAAATTTGCTTACCTCTGTTTATCTCTCTGTTTTTTTTAACTAAAAACAGAGCAAACTAAAACAAAAATCAACATCATAAATATATATTAGAACAAGTTCTTTGGCCGCTATCTATACTACTTTAGTAGTAATAATGGAGAAGTAGGCCGCTATTTATATACACACACAATGCGATGTAGGATAATATTACAAAACGCTAGGAGGCATATGCATTTTACACTAATTAATACTCCTCCGGTCCTTAATATAATATTTATTTAACTAATTTAATTAGATTAAGGAAGTTAGGTAAGTTAGTTAATCATAAAAAATACAACATATTTTTTCTAAAATACTATAATCATCTTCCTTAATATCCTCTTATTCTTTTTAACTTGATTATGGTTAAGATAGTATCAATAAGGGTAATTTAGGAAATATTAATAAATATGATAAATAAGTTTTATATTTAGGACCAAAATCAACTCAACAATTAAGTCTCATATTAAAAACTGGAAAAGTAACTTGGACTAAAAACCAAGATACCCAAATTATTCATATTTCCTGTTAATATGTAGCAAAGAGTAGTATGACTGAGACTCCTATTTGTATATAGCCAATTTGACATCTGTCATTGTTAGTTACGCAGGAATTAATGTTTTGAAAGGGATATAATCGGCTTGGCCAGTCTTTTATTCAAATTTCAAGGGGGATGGTCTTTGACATTTTCCCACGCACGAGTGAAAATCAATTCCCATCAAAATGGGTGGGAACCCATTTTCCCTTATAAGCTGGAAAATATTCCGCCACTGGAAAATAGGTTCCATGAAAGTATACATGCCAAACGTCCGCCACCGATGGAAAATATTTTCCATCTCCCTCACCAAATTTTTAACGTACCAAACGCGCTCTTACAGTGGATCATAAAAGCAAGTACCTTGGACTTTAGTGATCGGGAAAGGCAAATAAAGAATTTTTTAATAAAAAATGGAAAA